AAAAAAAAGGAAAAAAAGGGAAAGGGGGAAGATGGGGTTTTTTTTTTTTTTGGGGGGTTTTGGGCGTAAAACTTGGAAAAGGTGGGATGAAATGTTCCCAATTTGTTTTCTTTTCCTCCTGTTTGGTCCTACTCCTTGGCTGGTGTGCCTCTTACAATCTCACTCTAGAACCGAGGAGATACAATCCAGCCAGTGTGTATGCTCCTCCAGCGAAGAAGAAATCTCTGGACGACAAGAAGAAGAGTGTTGCTCGACCAGCTCAGCCTAGTGTACCAGTCAAAAGACCTGTAAGAGAAAGAAAAACATGTTTTCACAAATCACAACTTGCATCTCGACCGTACAGAGGGTCTAAAATTAAAAACTGCATAAAAATTGTAAAAAATTTGGGATTTGTCAATTTTTGCTCTGATAAAACTCTCTAACTGTGTGTGTGTCGTCTTGTCCAGGTGTCAGGGGCTCTGCTAGCAGTGAGGAAGGAGGCTGAGGAGAAGGAGAGACAGAGGAGGGAGCAGCTGGAGCAGCAGCATGCGCTCCAGGCTGCACTGGCCCAGAGACAGAAAGTCAGCCTCACACACAAACTTCAACACTTTTCATGTTCGGTGCAGCACTCTTGTGTGAGATAGGAGTGTGGGTATTTGGGCCAGAGTTGCATGAACATCTAAACATTGAAGAATTTATCTTTTGTTTTTCATGCAACAGTCTCATCGTGGTCTCAAACCTCTTTTCACTGGTTGCATTGACAGGCAGCAAGACAGCAGCAGGCAAGACAAGTGGCCCAGAACTGGCAGAAAGATCTCTCGGGCGGGGACCTCCTGCCTCCCAGCGATACCCCCGCTGGTGGGGACGGGGTTAAACAGGCAGGGTTCGACCCCGCTGGTAGGGATGGGGTTAAAGACGGTGGAGGCGAAGGAGTCAAGCAGCAAGCAGATAAAGACAGGTCAGCGGACTAGTGGTTCTTAACACACAGTCGATTCTAATTTGCACCAATTTTGGACAATTTGGATAATTTGTCTGTGTAACATTCGGCACTTTTGAGATGAATGTGGTATGTATTGACAAAGGATTCTGCCTTAATCACTGTGTGGATATAAACTACTATTGGTTGATGATTTAGAATGCCATTCACCTAGTCACCTAGTCTTTGAGTGTGACTGGTGTTCACAGGAGGAGTGGACAAGAGGCAGCTGAGAGAGCCAGAGTCCTTGAGGAGTTCCACCAGCGAAGGAGAGCGGCCGCTGCTAACAAGATGAGGGGTCAGGCCCAATGGCTTCCTTCTTCTCCCTCCCTGTCCCCTCCTCACCCCATGTCTCAAGGTTGTATGAGTGTCTATATAGCAGGGGCCTTGTTGACTTGTAAACCACCAGTAATGTTCAGTCTAAGGGGTCCGAATATTTTACCAGCACATCTATCTTATACATTGCACAGTTTCTTGGGAAAACTAGTTTGCATCTAGTGTTTGCTTAACCATGACACGTGTATTAACACGGTCTCAGCTTGTTTCTGGAGATTCCACTGGATGAATCTGTGCGTGTTACGCCATCATTCTTCCCTCTTTTTTTTCTCGCGTGAGCTGTTCACTATACATGCAGTAGTGGCGGAGCAGGCTGGGCCGGGAGCTGCCGGCAGAGCCCCGAGGGCCAGGAACGCGGCCGAGGGAGAGTACCTGGCCAAACTCCAGGCAATCCGGCGACAGAACTACCTGGAAAAGAAGAGGATTCTGGGGAAGGCGTCAGTGGCGAGGGACGTGTCTCCCCAGCCTCTCTCGGCTCCTCGAGAGGACCCCACGACAGGGGGGAGGAAGAGGGAGGAGGAGGAGTTGGAGGCTCGCAGGAAGAAGATTGCAGCTCTGAAGGTCAGTTCTGACATTTCGAGGAAGTGACACTCCCCCACTTCACTTAGCAGTCGAATACCTTACTCCATGCATACTGATTGAAAAACTAACTACCTACCATTTCAAAATTCCCAATCACCTCTAAATTTCGCTTCAAAGAATATTTCGCCCACTTTTACAGTCAACAATTTACGCTATAGCTTTATACAAATCGCAGCGTTGCTTTACAATCCAGCCATTGATTCGACCATTAGTGAAATACTGTGAGATAATAAACAGCACTATAACCCAGAACATCGAGAATTGAGAAGCTTTTTTGCTCAACTGTTAATCTGTGAATCAGGCGCAGGCAGATCAGCAGGCGGAGCACATGAGGAAGATGGTGGAGGAGAAGAAACGACAGAGACAGCTCGCTGCCGAGCAACAGCTCGCTCACGACGACGAGGGAGCTCCTCAGATGTGGGCGGAGCCTTGTGGGAAGGAGGCGGGGCCTCGGCAAAAGTGGGTGGAGCCTCAGGAGCCTCTGCAGCTGGCCCAACAACCTGACGTCACTGCCACACTTGGAGAAGGTGAGAGTTTACAAAATGTGCGTGGTTTGCATTCTCCAAATTTCTATCCAGAAACCTCCTCGATGATTGTATTTGAGCGGCCATCTGCCCCTGTAATCAAGGGTGTTAACGAGCCGGCGGTGCCAGTTAAACAGGGGGCGGAGCCTCGTCGTCAGTGGGGGGAAGGAGGGGGAACCCCCGTCATTTCTCTTCTGAAGAACAGAGAGCTGGAAGCAGAGACAGGTGTGTGGGCTGGTGTTGGTGCATTTGTGTAGTGGTTGCCACTAGTCAAGGCATTCAGGATGGTTGGTTGGGCTGGGCTGTCCTTCTCAACACTTGCTCGCTAAAAGTATGCAAAATTTAGTACAGCATTTTTGGCACTGCTCACTATATAGGACAAAAGCAAGGCTCGTGTTACGTACTGTACTAACAACTCTCTACAGGTGGAGGTACTAGTTCAGTGAACTCAGAAACTTGCGTGGTGTTCACCAAATGGCCTGACAGCAAACATCCCCTCGCAGCTGCTGCTGCTGCCACTTACAGAGTCCCCGCCCCCTATTCTGATGATGTAGATGCCCCATCTGGGAATGTGACTGTCCCGTCTGGTGATGCACCTGTCCCATCTGACGACGGTGCTAGTGTGTCTGATGACAAGATGAGTCAGACGCAGGAAAAGGGTGTGGTCACTAAAGAAGCCACACCCCTTACACCTGAACCTGTGGAACATTCAGGGGGTGTGGTCAAAGAAGAAGCCATGCCCATTAAACAGAAGTCAGAGGAAGTGACATCATCTCCAGTGGGTGGGGCTCAAGTTGAGGCCACACCCACTCCAGAGCAACCTCGGACAGCGTGGGGGGAACCTAGTGGGGGGCCAGAAATTCCCCCTGAGACTGCCCCCTCTCCGGCAGCACCACCGCAGCAATCAGTGAGGGAAACCCTGACTGTTGAAGATATTGAAATGAGTGACCCCCAGGAGCAGGGGTCAGGGGAACAAAATTTAGACCCCCACCACTCTCCCCCTCCAGTAAGCAGCACCAGTATATACCCTTCTCGATGAACTGTCCCATGATACTAACGTGTCCCAAAATACTATGAGTACATACAACTTTCGCAAATTTTCGGTTGCCCTGTGAAATTTGCTGAAGTGCCTGTTGTCAAAATGTTACTCTAACTCTCTCTCTCCCTCAGGCCCACAGCACACCTGAGAAGAAGAAGAGCGAGGAGAAGGAAGAGGAAGATGAGACGTGGGCTCAGCCGTCCTCCCCTGCCAGTTTCCACACTCCCTGCTCCAGACCTGCTGACAGCTCATCAAGACTCTCTCTGTCTCTGAGAGATGGAGATTTCGACACCAGCAAACATCTGCTGAGGACCTGCTCTCTCCCAAACCTCCACTCCTCCCAGTGAGTCTCCTCTCACTCCCTCTCTAAAAAATATACTGCCTACTGCCAAATTTTTGAGAGTGAATAAATTTTTTTCTCAATCTGCCAAAATTTTGCTCTCCAAAAACGATCCTGCAGTACAGCACATGTGTGGGTAATGAAAACGCTATACTTTATCTGTGAAAAATATTTCGAAAAACACTGCTGGTCAACCTTGTCTGCATATTTTATGTACAGATCTATGGAGGAATCGGGCAATGAGCTGGAAGAAGAAGAAGAAGAAGAAGAGAAAGCTGGAAATGAAGCAGAAGAGAACGTTGACTATTGCGAAGAAGATGAAGAGGAGAGGGTGGAGGAAGTGACTGAGACTGTGGGCGGAGAGAACGAACTGCCGCTAGAAGCCACACCCACTGGTGATGAGGTTGATGGTGAGGGTGTGGAGTGTGAAGGTGAGGAGAGGGACGGTGGAGGTGAAGAGGAGGAAGATTTCTCTGAAAGTGAAGAAGAAGATGATGACTTGCATCAGTTGGTCAAAACCTTGCAGAACTTTGTTCGAGAGTCAAGTTAGTAAACCCTCCCTCTTTCCTCCCATGCTCTCACTCTCTCTCTCTCTCTCTCTCTCTCTCTCTTTCTCGTGTCCCCAGAGACTCCGCCCTGCAGTCCAGCTCGAACTGCAGCCAGCGACTTTGAGCCTGTGACTCCACTCCACGAGAGCTGGGTTGACTCAGGTATGTATAATACTAGCTTCTCTGTGATTGTGGACTTGCACGTGAACAGATGAGGACGATGAGGAGGGGAGAGATGGTCCTGCCTCGTCAGGCAGTGTGTTCAGCCAGCTGGAGAGGACGAGGGTTGAGCTGGAGACTAAGGTTGGAATGGATTCTCTGCTACAGGCCTACCAACTCATCCAGGTACTGCAAAACTAGTACTGGAGATGGTTGGATTGTCTTTTTTTGCTCATGTCCTTGCAAAGTTCAAAATAGTTGGGAAGGTGGGCCTGGAGTTTACTCAGACTACAAGTGTGAATGCGGAGCAATTAAGAGTTGACACAAAATTTGACCCAGTTTTAATGAAGTCCACTCACTCTACTGTTGTAATCCACTTTTTTGGGTATCAAAACTATTTTTTTGCGGAACTTGCTTGTCTTCCTCAGACCCTGCAGGACGAGGGTGAGGCAGACGAAGAGGGAGAGTTTCCAATGGCTCAGCTAACTGCCATTGTTGGAGCCCAGAATGCTGACATATGCCCAGCTATCATCCACCTCACCCTTGCCGACTCCGCCTACTCACTTCTGGCTACGCCTACCTCCGAGGAGGCAAAAGACATGGAGAGAGTGGAGGTAGAAGTTGAGGGGTGACGAGGTGGAGGGGTGAGGGTGTGAGGAGGTTTGGAAGGAACAGCAGACCTTGATTGGCAAACCGATCACTATTTGAAACTTGTTGTTGTTGATGTAAAGTGTGATGATTATCGCTCACCTTATATACGGCGTGCGCAGACGAACAAAGGGCCGCATCGCTTGCGGAACTTTCCGCTGCAGCTAGTTAGCAAGCTCTGCAGCAGAGATGTCTGCGGGAATTCGGACGTATCTAGCACTGGCGCTGCTGGGCTGCGCTGCAGTGGGTCTTACTGCAGCCTACTATCCGACACAGCGGCCTACTACCACGATCCAAGGGACCGCCTGCAGGCCGCCGTTCGGATTTCGTCCTCACTCGTGCGGCGTGCACGAAATCCTCAACCGAACCTTCCAGCCAGCCTGCGAATATCTTTGGGGGTATAGCTCATTTACGTTGTTGCAGTAGAGCAGTGTACGATAGAATTCTACCCGAGAGTGTGCCTGATCGATGTGTGTGTGTGTGTGTGTGTGTTAGGCCCAATGTGTGTCTAGTGACGGACACGGTTCGAAGCAACGTAGTGTCCTACCACTACAGCCAGGGCTGTGACTGGGTCTTCAGTCACCACTACTATCAGTGGATCCGACAGTGCAAGTGAGCCTGTCACAGGAAAATCTGTAGAAATATTTATAAAAACTCTCAGTTATGTGTGCCAGCCAAGCGATGTCTGTCTGGAGGAGACGCAAGTGTTCAACAGATCATACGAGGAGTGTTGTCCAGGGTTCCGAGCCCGCAGACGTACCTCCACCACCAGCAGCTACTACTCCAGGTCCCACTACAGGTACTACTCTGCCATCAACTCCAGGCCTGAAGGCTGCCCCATAGGTGAGCAAGCAACACTACAATCATACAGTAGAACCAGCAAAACAACCGAACATCAGCATTATTATTATAAACCAGGCATTAACCAAGTTTCGTGTACATGGGTTTCTGTGAATGTTTATGCGCAAGTGAACGGCAAACATTTTTGCCCCTGCAGCTGAGGGTAACAGTCTCTTGGAGTGCCTCCGGATACAAGGTCTTGACGAGTTCATCAGCTATATCGAAAATTCAGTGTACTTCACTCTCCTCAATGAAACCATGAATACCCACATCACCCTGTTTGCCCCGACAAACGAGGCCCTCGCCACAGCTCGAGTGATAAGTGGCTTTCCTCTTCCAGACACCGATGCCTTCAACATCTCCCAGAATGTGGGGAACCATATTGTCCCTGGCAATGTCACCATGGCCAGCCTGCGACAGCACGGCAGTAAGATCTACGTCAACATTGAGGGGAGGAACCTCCATCGGACCTCGGTCTCCATAACAGACTCCAGCTACGTCTCTCGCCCTGAGAACTCTTACCAGTACAATCCCGCGCCTGGAACCTCAGCCTTTCAGACAGCTGTAAGCCCTCAGTTACAAGATATACTCACACACTAAAAATGGAATACTACACCAAGTTTTTTCAAGTTCTGGGTGTTCTGGGTGTATGGATAAGCACTAATGTTATTGTTCTCTCTCACTTTCCTTTTAAACTCTCATTTTCTTTCATATCTCTCCTTCTCCTTGTCTAGATTCCATTCATCAATGGAGCAGAGGTAGTAATAGAGGATGCTTGCCACACTGTCAATGCCACTCTCCACATCATTGACAAGGTCCTCGTCCCAGCAGAGGGGACTATTGCAGAGTTCCTCGAAAACACCCCACTTCGGTTCTCCATGTTCAAAGACGCTCTGGAAACCGTGGGTATTCTTCCTTTCCTCAACAACCCAAATGTCTCCCGAACTGTGTTTGCCGTTGAAAATGATGCGTTCACTGAAGCCCTTCCCCCAGGCCTAATGACGTGCATCGGAAACTACATGAGACCACCTTTCAACAACCTCATGCAATTCCACATAGGCCAGGGCGCTTACTATTCATCCGTTCTGGCTCTCGAGAATTTCTTTTACACTAACTTGGGCAAGTTTATTCGAGTGCAGGTGGATGAGGAAACGGGGGAGATCCTGCTCGGACGCTGCAAAGTGGCAATCATTGAGGCCGACGTCGTATCCGCCAGCAACGGAGTCCTGCACGTCATTGAGACATTTCTCTTCCCAGACAATTTCGACTTCATGATGTGCTCCGGTTTTGTCCCCGATCCTTCTCCAGCCGAGTGCCCTCCGGAGGAATTCCCCTCTCCCTCCCCCACCATGGACTTCCCTCCCGCCTCTTCCTCCTTTGACTCAGCAATTTTCCCTACCCCTGGCAGCCAGTTCTTTTTCGGACGCTAGAAAGTTTTCACCCACACGCTCAAAATCACACTCTACTACTACCATACACTATGTTTGTATTGGTGGATTAAGAAAAATCATTGAATAATTGAAAAGTTCCATAATTATTATGTCACAGAGCACAAGAAAATAATTTGTATTCCAACAATGATGCCGTGTGAACAGCGAAATATAAAGACAGAGCTTTTTACAGGATGTAGTATGATATAATTACTGATAGAGTGCTGGGACTCTCTGTGGATATGTGAGGAAAATTTGCTGCAAGTGAAGCAGCCACAAAAAAAGGTGCTAGTGAGATGCGAGTTGAGAGAATACGGTATGTTCTTCCACGAAATTCTTGAGGTAAAACAGTAATGACATTGGAAAAGGTGAGGCCTTGACGGCATGGTGGGGCGGTGGATTAGAGTAGTAAGAAGACTTGACTGAAACCAACAAAGAGAGAGAGAGGAGAGAGGGAGAGAGAGAGGAGAGAGAGAGAGGAGAGGGGGAGAGGGGCCAAAGCAAACGGCTACGGCTTCGAGTCACAATTTGGAGATCGAAAGGAATGGCTATATACAACGGGAGGGTATGAAGCGAGGGAAAGAGAGAGAGAGAGAGAGAGAGATCATAAGAGTTCACTTAGTGAAGAGAGCCTCTCAGCAGGGGTAAGAAAGGCTGCCTGTGATATGTTACTGCTGTTGTTGTTGGTGTTCAACTGGTACGTCTGCTGTGGAGTCCCGTTGTACACAAATTGGGGTCACCGGGGACGCCGTGGTCCATCGGTAGCGAATGGGGCGTGGCTCCATACTGGTGGGCGTGGCCAGTTGGCATTTGCAGGCCCACCCCCTGCGACATGGGCCCCTGCATTTGCTGGGGGTGATGATGCCCGAGCATGTGGTGAGAGTACACAGCTCTCTGCTGCTGAGGATGGACCCCCACGCCATACTGGGGAGGGGGTCCCACAGGTTGGGTCATCTGCGAGTATGCGTTTGGAGGGGTCGCGTAGGTTTGGACGGTGGGGGGCCGCTGGGAAAGCATGCGAGACAGCTGAGGGCTCTGGTGAGCCTGCTGCGAGTACACCTGACCTCCGGCAGGCCCCATCATGTGATGGTGCACAGACTGAGGGTACGAACTGGTGCGGTAAGTTGTCATCTGTGGAGTGTACTGCTGTGCAGGCGCAGCGCGCATCAGCTGTGGCTGCACCTGAGAGTAGCTCCCTTGCTGAGGAGAAGGCCTCATGTTCACCATCATCATCTGAGGTCTTGGAGACCCGTACATCCCTGGCTGAGGCTGGTGGGCTGCCATGTCCGACATCATATCCATCTTTGCCTGCTGCTGCTGGCGCTGACGGTACATGACCATCATGTTGTTCTGCATCTCGTGCTCCATCATGGAATGTTGTGGAATCTTCTGGATGGTTGCCTCTCCACCCATCCCCATCTGGTTCACCGTCACGTTTGGCGCAGGCATCGGTCTGTCAGGTTTTGAAGCTGCACCTCCAGTGGGACCCATCATCTTCGAATTCGCCCCCTTGCCCCCTGAAATTTCCCCCGCGGGGGTCCGCGGACCCCCTTTCCCTACAGAGCGAGGTCCAGCCGGCGAGCCTTTCTGGGGCGGAGTTGGAGGCGGGGCCTTGTTGGTAGGTGGGGACGTGTTGGAGGGTGCAGGGGAACCCGAGGAACCATTGGAGCTGCTGCTGCTGCTGCTCACACTCATCCCCTGCATGTTGCGTATCCGCTGCTGCATTAGGAGGTTGCTACGGCGACGCTCTTGCGCTCTCGTCTCCTGGATATTCTGTTTGATTTTCTTGCATATGCCTCCGAGAGGGCAGTTGTTGTCTTTGCAGGTCTTGGCGTGGGTGAAGACGAGGTAGAGGAACTGTTTGCAGATGTGGCAGTTGGAGCTGGTGTTGCGCGTGCGGCACTGCTGCGTGTGACGAAGGACCCTCTTTATCCTGATGCAGCTGGGGATCTTGCACTGGACGTTGCGACACTGACTCGCGTGGATCAGCGACACTATCGCTCTTTGGAACGACGCATTTCTTCTAGCCTGGACACAACGAGAGAGGAGACGAGGAAGGAGAAAAGAGAGCTAAACTGACTACGTACAAAAGTCTACCACTCCATAGTATCGTAACGGTCTCCTCAACACTGTACATGCTCACATAATTGTCATTATAGTGATAGGATGGATGGTGTACCTGAGGATCCTGTTCCGCGGCCGGGTCCTGGTCCTCCGGATCTATCATTCCCAGACCCAACCTCTCCATCGGGTGTTCGTGTTTCGTTGTGTCGTAGCACGCCAGACAAAGGTCAAAGTCCTGTACGTCAGGCAGAACAAAGCTCATACATACATTCACCCTATATAGCACCACAGTCAACTTATTCTTGATTCCTCAACTATAGTCTTACATACGTAGCTGCTTGCTTCTCCTCACCCCAAATTCTTAACCACTGCACACACAAACTGTCCAATCCCTCTCTCCCTTCCCTCAACTCACGTCACACTCTCGGCAGTGGTATCTGGTCTCCACACTGCGACCGCAGCTGTTGCAGGAGTAGATGAAGCTGGTTCCCTGGTTATGCAGCTCATAGAGCATGGCCTGCGTGGAGGCCTTGGCCCGCCGGAGAGAGGAGAACTCCCAGTGTCTCTCTCGGGCCATTGTGAGGAAGGCGTCTCTCCCGTCCATCAGGTCACACGGGATGAGTTGGTCTGGGTCCACCGTGCTACCAATGGGGGAACTGCAGACAGCTGGCGGCTGGAGGAGAACCACAAAGAACACCTGTAGAGAGAAGATATTCATCATAATATCGTCAACTCGTCTCAGTGAGTGTGGTGATTATGCTAACACACAGAGGAGGAGCCAACTCATGACTTACTGGCCATAATATATAACTAAAAACTGCAAATTACATACGTAACGGGTGTTTTAAGTAAAAATCCAGACAAGAACCTCTCTATGTGTTAGTATAACAGTCAAGCAGGTATATTATGTACGTATGTACCTCTTTGTGTTTGTCCATGGTGGTGTAGATCTTCTGAGACAGGTCGTCTCCCCGCATCATTACGCCACTCGCCTTCCCTGACTTGCTGCGGGCACCGCTCGTCTTCTTGCTCCCCTTCTTGTTGGTTCCTCTCTTCCCTGCCTTCTTCATCCCCCTCCCCTGAGAGGACACACACACACTTTTCAAGGAGAACTTTTGGGATTCTAAAAGATTTTGGCAGTTGCTCAAAAACCGACAAAATTTTAGACCATTTTGACAGTGGCTCAAAACAAAAATTTACAGCACAAACCTCGACAGTGGCGGCCTCTGAAGCCTCTCTTTCTCGGGCCTCCTGGTCCAGTTCCTTGATGGTGTCCTCTATGATGTTGGGCCAGAAGTCCCCCTCAAAGTAGGGAATCTCCGTGACACTGGTCACCGACTCATCAGTACAGTGCTTGAATATGTCCTGAGGAAGAGAGAAGGGGGAGGAGAGAGTAGGGAGGAGAGAGTAGGGAGGAGAGAGTAGTAGGGAGGAGAGAGAAGGGGGAGGAGAGAGAAGGGAGGAGAGAGTAGGGAGGAGAGAGTAGGGAGGAGAGGAGGGGGGAGGAGAGAGAAGGGGGAGGAGAGAGAAGGGGGAGGAGAGAGAGTAGGGAACGTGAAAAACCTGGCAAATACACATTTTGCCGTTTTTGTGGTAGCCATGAATGTCAATATAATGATGATTTTTTTGGTGATTGACTAAATGCCCTTAACACACACATGTTTTTATGAATCGCGGATACAATTTTAAAAACCATAAAATCGGGCTGAAGAGTCTGAAGGCTTACTCGGTAGTCGTAGACGACGTTGTCGGCCTTGCCACGGTCCAGCATCTTCCTGTACCATTCCACGAGTCTCTTTGGTTTGGGAATCTTCTGCTCCACGGGGTGGCAGTGGAAGATGTAGTCATCTCCCTCACTCGGAGGACAGGCCCAGATGTGGGCCGTCATGAACCTGGACACAGGCAGAGAGAGGGAGGGGCAGCTGTCAGTGCAGTGTACGTGTCCATGACGATGGGACAGATTAATCTCACAATATGTCAGACGGACACATGCTTATAATGGATGCATATAATGGGTGTGTGTGTGGCGCATGTGTAAGCCCACTGTTGTTTGCATTCTGTCGAAAAAATTACTAAAATTCACTCCACTCTACAACAAGCCCTGTAATATCATGAACTCACCCGTTCTGCTTGCAGAACTGTAGATATCCTATGAGTATCTCGTGGTAGACGAGTGTTCTGAGGTGTTTGGGGTGGAAGAAATGGATGCTGTCGAGATACGAGATGTACACTCTCCGTGTGTTGGGGGCCGCACAGTCAGAGCCGTACTCCTGGACATGGAGACCAAAGAAACAGACTTCGACACCGTCGATCTCTTCAAACACAAACAGAGCTTTGGTTCTGTACGGGAACTGCTCGGGGAAGTCACCCTGCAGCCAGAGAGAGAAGGGAGAGAGGGGATTTGAAGTCCAGAATGCATGAAACACACTGATACCTTTACTACACATACTCCCTCATCTGTACATTGCACATGAAGAGAAAAAGTCAGTGTACTGCTAACAAAGGCTCTAGGACCAGCAGTGTGGCCAACAACAGCTCCCCAGAGCCTGGCCCTGCCACCCACACACCCAGTGAAGCCACCTACAACGTACCTGGAACCTGTCCTTCATGAGTGTCCGAGTGTCCAGGACCTTGTCAAACGAGGAGACTGTGCGAATGAACACCTCTGCCCCCGAGTCTGAGTTTCTCAGGAACACGTTGACCCTGTCCTCCAGAAATGTCGACAGCTTGTTGGTCGGCAGCCCTGCAGTCACACCAACAACGCAAACACTCTCAATTCCTCTTCTCAAGCCTTCTGTATCAAACTGAAAGCTCAAAATTATTATGGCATTGAAAATGCAACTCTGGATTATTTTTTCTTCCCCAACATCATTGTAAAACACAACAGTAATGTATGCCTGCTTAAGGCTTTCTTCAAACAGCAAATATTTTGTCAAAACCCAAAGCAGTATTTCCTGAACTGAATTCTCTCAACTCAGGTACTCACGTCTGGCGCAGAACTTGTTTTCTCTTCTTGACGTGCCCTTTAGTCTGAGACAGGAGTCACACTGGTAGCCTTCAGACCAGATGGCAGCGTGGTGCAGGACGCATATACTGTGGAATTGTCTCCCACAGTGGATGCACCGTATCATTCTGGAGTGACAGACGGAGGGAGAGAGGGAACATTTTAATTAGTGAAGCTAGGGATGAAAGGTGTTTTGCAGTAGTTTAATTTTCACTTTCAATTTTATTTCTTTACAGAGCTGCTTTTTTCTCTGGACTCACGGTTCATAGTCCACGTGATCGTTTTTCTTCTCCTTGAACACGGACTTGGCGATCTCGGAGGTGCTCATGGGGTCGTCGCCCACGGCAACCATATCCCCCGGAAACTCAGAGAAGCACTTTTGGCAGTATATGTACCTGCAGAGAACAAGGATCAGAGTATTGGGCAGGATGGGGGTATATATTAGAGGGGGCTTTGTACAGATAACACTTGTACACGTGGAGTGAAGATCCTTATGAGGGAGAGGAGGTAAGGTGTGATTGTCTGTACCTGTTTTGGTAGCTGTAGTACACACTGTCTCTAGCAATTGTACACAGGGACTTCCCGTAGCAGTACAGAACTTGAGGATGGAACGTATGCTGCGAGCAGTGAGAGAGAGAATAAACCAATGGAAGGGGGGGTCAGGGTTCAGGCTTACCCTGCCTCCACAGCAGTATCCGAGTTGAACCATGGCGGAGTTGATACCCTCATCAAAAACCTCCACCAGCCGCGTGCAGTACTTGTAGACTCTGGACGTCTTCTTGTTGTAGATCCAGGCGTTGTCAAACATGAGTCTCATGTCACTACAGAACTACACAACACCACAGAGAGAGAGAGAGTTCACATTATCATCCATACATTGGAGTATACTGAACATGCAGTGTTCCTTCGCAAGTAACTAGTAGTTTCTGAAATGCTCCACGTGACATTTGAACATGCACACAACACATGTAAAACTGTGTAATTCAGATGACTTGAATAGATGAAATAGTGGAGACCCACCTCCCAGGGATTGGAGTAATGCCCCTCCTCCAGTTTATTTCTGATTGTTCTCAGGTCCATGGGGTTCTTGATGATGTCGAAATAATCCTGTGTGGAGGAGAGAGAAGAGAGCTCCATGACAAGATAGAGAGGATCAACAGAGGAGGAGAAAGAAATGAGGAAAGGAGATTGCGAAACTCACGGGGATGCCGAGCCGAGTTGGATCCACAGGCTCCCAAAATGGGCAAGCCTCAGGCTCCTGCTTGTACACCAGGTCCAGCACAGGCAGCAGAGCCTCCAACAACTCGTCTCTTGAAAACGCTGCACACACACACACACACAGAGAAAGAAGTGGATTTCAAAATCTTCATTTCTAAATGTCCTTACCTTTCTTGAGGGAGGGGTCGGGGACCACCTTCTGCTTCCCCGAAGAAGGAACGTAGCCCGTGTCCATTTTGGAGGGAGTGGCAGGGGGAACGCTGAGGGGCAGGGAGGGGGGGACCGAATCCGGGGGGTTCTCTCCACCCGTCCGAGATTTAACACTTGAAACTGCGGAGGAAGGTGGGGGTTAATTGGAGTGTGTGGTGGATTATCGACACTCACTTGGTTCCCTGGGAGTGGGGGCACGTGGGACTGAGAGTATCGGTTTCTGCTCGGAGGAGGGCGTGGCAGGTTGGCTGGTGGGCGGAGCCTCAGGGCGGGACCAAGGAGGACGAATGGAGGCGGGGGACTTCATCTCAGATTTCACCTCTGACTTGACATTGTCCACTGGAAGAGATGAATAAAGATTTAGACTTTGCTGAGAGCAAATTAAAGGGAGAAAAATTTCAGTTTGCCAAATCCACAAGATTACGTTGAGACCCTTTGCAGAAAGATCTCAACCTGGGTGTTTTCTGATTTGAAATGCAACTCACGGTCAGGCAGTAAGGATGTTTGAAGAGACGCGGGAGAGAAGGGTTTCGAGCCGGTGGCCAGAATCCCCTCCTTCTTGTCGTCCGTCAGGAAATCCACCGACGGGACACTTGAGGGATTCCCGTCCGGTATACTGGATGGAGCTCCAGGTGACATGGTGTGTCCTGAGAGAGACCATCATAGGGAAAATCATATTATTGTGATAATCTATCTGGGGTCATTGAAAATGTGAAATATGTACGAAATGTGCTGACAAATATTGCTTGCCACCTTCAACACCACCCAGTAGTGATCCCAACACAAGTAATTTCAGAAGTTGGCAGAATAATGAGAGTGTCTCACCGGGATGGAAGGGGGATTGTGAGTAAGGAGAGGGTGCCATCTGGTGTCTCTGGTTGCTCCCAAAGAACCCTGGACCCAGTCCGTCACCTCCGTTTGGTATATGACCATCCATTCCTGCCATCCCTGCGAGTGAGGAGAGCTGAATATCACACACAATGTAGATGACAAGGTATGTATGTATATGATAGGCTCGACAATTACTCATGTAACCTAGAGCTTTTTGTCTCAACTCAACACTCTCAGCCCTTCCCCTTTACCTAATTTTGTGCCCCGCAATAGTCACGTAGTTCAGGTCAGGTTAGGTCTCTATTATCGATTATTCATGCATTATTGGTTTGAAGATACATAACAGGGATGAACAAACCTTCGCCCATAGGTCGTCGCAGTTTCTCCATCTCCATCCTCATCTTCTTCCTCTCCTCCAGCTCCTTCCTGATGCGGTATATCTTCTCTGCCAGTAGCTGGTAGTAGGCCTCGCGACTGGTGGCCATCTCAAACATGGCCTTCTCCACCTTCATGGCGTACTGGATGAGGCTGCTCACTCGCTGGTCCTGGAGGGCATGCGGGTTCTGTATGGGGAAGATGGTCTCCACCCTGCACGGAGAGATGGAGAAATGAGCGTGGCACGTTACACAGACACTCTCCTGAAGAGACGAGAATTTAGTAAAAGCTCGACGGGGTTGGTAAAGAACGTAATCACGGATTGGAATACATAATTTCAAGCAATGCTCTTAAATTCGTGAGATCCGTCAATTTTATTTCGCTCCACAGAGAGTGAGTGCACGAGAAGAAGGGGCTTACAATTTCCTGACGAGGTGTTGTCTTAGTTCCGGCTGCACGCTCTGGTGCCAGGCCTGGGTCTGCTGGTTTGGAATGGTGGGAATGGAGACTGGGAATGGGACCCGGGACTGCGACGTCATGTCTATTCCAGCCATGTCCCCGAGACTACCTGCAGGGGGCAAAGGTCAACCGTAACAGTGAACTTGGTATAAAACATGCAGTGGATGTGGAGATTGGAGGTGGGGTACATTGGGGGAATTCCCTAGTCGTTAGACCACTCACCTGGATCAAACACAGAGTCCACACCTGCAGGTCTACCAGCTGGAAGACAGACAAGACAACATTACGTTTGAACAGATTCAGATACACACATTACGTTTGAACAGATTCACATTATGATAATTTTCTCCAATGGTGCATATTTTTTGTGAGATTACACAGTTTGATGGGCATTAATTAGAGGTTACTACCACTGTTTCTTTGCATGCCCAATACCACAACAGTATGTCACTGACCAGGAGCCATCATCATGGGGTCATGGGGTCGTATGGTGTGATTTGGGGGTGCCCCGCCGGGCCCCAGGGGTCTCTGGGACTGAACCGAAGTTGCCATCTGAGGAGAGCCCCCGGGGGGCTGCGAGAATTGAGGGTTCACTGCCCCCTGGGGGACCGGCGGCCGCATAACCTGGTTATCTGTCAGAGAGAAAGAAAATGGAAGAGCTCAATCAACTAAAGAGTCTTTATTTTGCATTATGTCATAGTTTTTTTGGTCCCAGTCCTCATTGCTGCCTGAAACAAATTGAGGTGAAATTTGGGCGATGAAAAAACAAAAAAGGAGGGGGAACACATACATGCCAATGGTACAAAGTTCAAGGGGAAGTGTAAACACCAAAAGGGGAGGAGGGATGATGTAATTGTAGTGATGTCATAGCTGTAGTAGGGCCAACTACACGGCAGGACTAGTGTATAGACATGTACATAGCACAGTATGTACCTTCTCGCTTACGTGGTAATGCGGTGTTCCTGAGGGGCAGACAGACGGAGCAGTCAGCCTTTCTGCAGTTCTTCCAATGAGAGATGATCTGTCTCGATGACGCACAGTGAGCATCTGCGTACACAAGAAAAAACCTTTAATGTGTAAAATCTGTTAAACTTATCAAATAATTTTACAAAATAATAATCTCGCTCCTATTGCACTGTTCCCATCCCATTCTTCCCCTCCATGCACACCAGTAAATAAAAGATGGATATGAACTCACATGTGCACTGTCGGCCTGCCTGGCACTCGGTCATGTGATCCAACACCTTCTTCATGGTCTGGCAGTGTGGCAGGGAGCACGGCTGGTACTCACTTCCACCCATCGAGTGCTCCCTCTCTCTCCGCTGACACTTGTGAGCATGCAGCAGGAGAACCAGCTGCTGCTGAATCAGCTTCCTCTTCTCCGGGTCAGTCGCTGCCTGCTGGTTTGCCCCGCCCAGTCCTCCGCCTCCTGGCCCGCCTATACCTCCAGAGGTGGGTGGAGCTCCGAAAGTGTTGACTCCACCCCCTGGTCCGTGAGGGGATGAGCCAATCATCTGTTGTTGTGTTGGTTGCTGACCAGGCATTCCCCCCTTCCCACTGAAGTAATCAGAGGGGAGAGAAGGGAGGGAGCCAGGCATTGGCTGTTGACCTGCACTCGACTGCGGAGGGAGGGGCTGAGGGGGCGTGGCTTGCTGAAAGTTCTGAGTGGGTGGAGTCTGCCCAACAGACTGTTGGGTGGGCGGAGTTTGCTGCTGTTGGGGGGCGGAGACTGATTGGGGTGGGGCTGCCGGCGAGGGAGCTCGTTGTTGCATTGCTCCCTGTGGCAACGGGACTTCCCCTCTGTAGAGCAGCGGAAGTGGGCGGGGCATTCAAATGTTGCTGTAACTGCTGCTGTTGTGTCTGGGGTGTGGCAGGTCTTGACGTGGCTGGGGATTGCTGCAGTGGAGAGAGAGAAAGACGAGTGTAAGTAATGTGGGAGGACATGAAACATGCACAGAGCCAGGCACAGGATGCAGGGGAAACAGTGTGGAAGATCAAAGGATTTGGCAGACAGCATCAAAGGAAACTGTGTGTTTGTAGCTTCACATGTGCTGCACATGCATGTAGAATATTCAGTGATGATATAGAGGACTCACCCCAGGAGTAGGCTGCTGAGGTGTGGTCTGTTGCGAAGGGGGCGTGGCTTGTGATTGAGGGGGCGTGGCAATCTGCAGTTGAGGACCTCCTAGTTGCCCAGGCAACGGGCTGCCTTGCCCGACGACACCCTCGGATGGTGGGCGGGGCTGTTGGGCGGGGTGACTCTGCTGAGGATTGGAAACGGGCATCTGTTGTTGCTGAGTCATCATATGAGGAGCCATCATCTGGTGGTGCGAGTGAGGAGGAAGGACGGCGTTTTGCGCCGGAACCATCGAGTAACCCCTCTGCATGTGACCCTGGTACCCCGAGGGGTCCATATATTGGTGGGGGTGGCCCCCCATAATCATGCTCTGGGGTCTCGGGTGGTGCATACCAGGGTGGTGCTGAACATGCTGCGGGCTTGGCATTCGATGATGTATTCCCGGTTTCCCCACCATTGTCATTCGGGTGCGGGGATCGTACGATATGTGCATGCCGGGGTTCATGTGCATGGCTCCCGGTTGCATCATTCCTCCTCCACCCATGGTCATCCCACCTTGACCCATCTGCTGCGCCGCGGCTCCGCGATGCATCGCCATTTGCGAGTGGTGTATCTGCTGGGGCATCCCCATACTCTGCTGGGGGTGGGTACTCATCATGGGCCCTCCATGGACCCCGGGGTGCATCATTTGACGCTGCCTCATAATCAGCCGATGTTGTTGTTGGGTCATCATATTGGGCGAGTGTACCATCTGCTGTCCATGCATGACAGGTCCACCCATTACCTGACTGGACCCGGGGTGGCGCAGGTAGCCTCCCATTCCCGGCGCTTGAGGCTGCATCGCCACCTGCGAGTTCATTCCCGCAGAAACGGTCATCCCTCCAGAGTACGAATTGTAAGAGAAAGGTGTGGAGGAAGCGGACGGCATTCGAGGGTTGCCCATTGCAGGAGAAACGGACGTCGCCATGTTGGAGTAAGGAACGGCAGTTGCAGAGGTGGAGCTGATGTTTGGGAGAGCTGGAGTGGGGTCAGCGGAGGTGCTCACAACAGTGGTATTGAGAGGGGCACCAGCAGTTGAGGTACTCAGTCCTCCACCTCCACCGATGCTGTTGTTGAGAAGAGGACCCCCTCCGAGAGTGTTTGACTGCGGAGGAGGAGTGGGTTTTGCGACGGGGCTGACGCTAGTCGCGGGAGACTGTTGTTGCGACAACGGCTGGGCCAGCGGACTGACACTGGGAGCCAACGATCGAGGCTGCGCGGTGCTGGGCGGTGGTGGGGTGGAGTTGAGCCCAGCAGGTAGCTGTTGAGGCTGGGAGACACCAGCCATACCGGGGAGATCAGTGGTTGCGGGTCCATCGAGGCCCGGTAGATCGATACTAGCAACTAGAAGATCATCTGGAAGATCTTCAAGGAAGAAATCTGGGGAGAAACGAAGACAAGAAAAGGGGAGTGTGTAAGAGAGAGAAGGAAGAGGGTGCAAGTGAAGAGAAGGTGGAAGTTTTGATGTTTGAGGATAAAGAAATGTGTTGGATAGCAAGTCTGTGGCACATAATGGGACCCTGGGAAGCTTTGAGCCCGCTGTAGCTAGCTTTCTGTAGCACATATCTAAACACACAGGTGACACACCCTCTTTCTATGACCCGCGCTCTCTTCGCCTGCGGCTCCAACATCCACTAAAACAGGGGAACTGACATAGATCTCCGGCCAAAGAGACGTACACAGTTTCCGGACGTCACCGACCGTCAGAGAAAGCAAGCGCCCCTCCCCGGGAAAGTTCTCCCCCGCTCGGCTCACCTGTTCCGTCTCCGACGGAGTCTAACTTGGGTCGTTTGGAGGGAGGTACGGTCCCTGCGGACGATAGTTGCGTGGTGAGCGGGTCTGTCATCCCAGGGAGCTTCTGGCATCGGCTGGTCACCACTGGCGGCAACAACTCTATAACATTCTAACTTTCCAACGGAAACTTAAGCTTTTCTGCCACTTTCCTACGCTAAGACCGATAGCTAGAGGGCGGTTCACACGAGATAGGTCCACACACACGTCCTGAGGGTCGCTGGAGACACGGAATTGGTCCGATCACTTCGTCTCAGGTGTGAACGACGATCCAGGAAATTGGCTTTTTGCGCGACTTTCAGCGAACAGATCTGGCCGACTGGCGAGTATACTGTAGACGAGACACGGCTCTCTGGCAGTAGCTGCTCTGGACTTCGGTACGCCGCCTCTGAAGCTACGCAATTCTAGACTTTATCTCTATTTCCCGCTGAGGGGAAGGCGGCCATTTTGTTTGTGGTTTGCAATTTCAACTGAGCGTACCCGGATGCGTTCCCCGACAGTGCTCATTAGTATTACAAAGTGGGCGGAGACTTTTACGGAAAATATACAAGGTAGACAAAGTTCCGTTTATCAAATCCGTATATTAGACAGGTATCACGTGAGCTACAGCAAAATTATACGTAATCTCCGGCTCCTTTTAGCAAGCCGAAAGGAACCGGAGCACAACTGGAGGGTAAAATACGCGCATGAAGCGACGTAAAACGTTCTGTGTTGGTTGTAGGAGGAGGGGAGGGGGAGACAATGGCCGAGGACGGCCTGATCACGTGCTACAAGGGAGGGTTGGTACTGAAAGGTGGCTCCCTGGTGCAGAAAGACATCTGGGTGAGGGCAGGGAGAGTTGTAGAGCCTCAGGAGCTCTTCTTCCGAGACAGACGTGCTCCCAGTTTCTACTTTGACTGCAGTAATCACATTGTGGCCCCTGGGTTTATTGATGTTCAGATAAACGGTGCGAACACAATGTTGCTTGCCCCAGAGTTCACTTATTTTGAAACCGTGCAGGTGGGTTCGGTGTTGACTTTTCCAAACTCCGCCCAGGGGGTGTGGCAGAGGGCGTGGCCTCAGTTGCCAGGGGGCTGTTGGAGCACGGAGTCACTGCGTTCTGCCCCACCATCATCACCTCTGGAGCTGATTACTATGCCTCAGTGAGCACAACAGGAGTTGGCTGTTTCTACTCGCCATTCATTATTGTCTTCGTGTCCAGACTCAGCCCTTCCCCTCTTCTGCTGTGTGCCACATGCTCTGTATATTGCTGTACTATAATACTGCACCATATCCACTGTGTTCACTATTAGATCCTGCCAGAGATGAGAGTGAGTGAGGGAGGATCACATGGGGCAGCTGTATTAGGTAAGGCTCTCTCTCCACTTATTCCACCTCTCAAGTCTTAACTGTGCCACATTCCAGGAGTTCATGTTGAAGGTCCATTCATTAGCCGGGAGAAGAAAGGGGCTCACCCCGAGCAGTTCATACAATCTCTCCTCTCTCCGGGTGCGGTTGTGAGGACATACGGTTGCCTTGACAACGTCCGTGTGGTGACACTGGCACCAGAGCTCGAGGGAGCACAGCACACAATTCGCTGGCTCAGCAGGTGAATTTTAAACTTCGATTTCCAGCAAACATTTTATGCACCGTCCATCAATAACATAAAATTTATGAAAATGTTTTTCTCCAGGAAGAAGGGAGTGGTGGTGTCATTAGGACATTCCATGGCGGATCTGACGACAGCGGAACATGCCGTTAATTCGGGGGCATCTCTCATTACCCATCTTTTCAACGCCATGCTCCCAGTAAAAGCTCTTTATACCTCACCATTAAGTAACGGTAATGTATTTCTCCTAGTTTCACCACCGAGACCCTGGAATAGTTGGACTTTTAACGAGCCAATCGGTGGGGGATGCCCCTGTCTATTACAGCCTAATTGTTGATGGGAATCACACACACGAGACAGTGCAGAGAATAGCCCACAAAGCTCACCCAGAAGGTCTAGAGTTTGGCTCCCTGCCAGTCAAAACCTGTGTGTGGAAGAATGTCATAAGCACACAAACACACACACACACACACACACAGGTGTAGTGCTGGTGACAGACGCCATGGCGGGGATGGGAGTGAGGAGTGGGGATGTGAGAGGGGGTCAGGAAGAGAGCCGTTTCTCTCTGGGAGAAGGTGGCAGAGTTGAGGTGTCTGGAGGAGCTGTGAGACTGGCAGGAACTAGCACCCTCGCTGGAAGGTCAGCCTATACTTTCAGATGAGATGCCTGCTTTACCCTAACCTTAAAGTAATGATTCCCCAAAAAATATGTCTTGACTCAAAACTTTATGTGCAGTGTGGCGACAATGGATGAGTGTGTTCGTCATTTCAGACGTGCCACGGCCTGCACAGAGGCAGTGGCCCTCGAGGCTGCGTCTCTCCATCCAGCCAGGGTCCTGGGTCTGGAGGACAGCAGAGGGCAGCTAGAGAAGGGAGCCAGGGCTGATATAGTGGTCCTGGACCGAGATCTGAATGTTCAAGGAACCTTTATAGCGGGTCATCCGGTGTGGAGTCTTCCTGGTAGCCGCATGCATAGAGAACAGCAGAGATTTTCAAATCTACATACATAGCAACCAACACAGGTACTATATATTTCACGGACACAAGGTTTGGCTATTTATTGAAGATGACAGTACTCATAAGTTCACACTATTTTACAAACATTGTTTCACTAGACATTAATTTTGAACATCTACATTGAAGATGACATATTCCAAGAACGCTAGATGGTCTCTATATCACGGGAGCTGCTTGCTGCCGCAGCGTGGGTGATGATGTCATTGATATTGCTGGGGCTGAGGTTTGGGCGGAGGCTCCAGACCAAACTGGGACATCAGTCTCCCAATCTCTCCCTCCTTCTTCCCTTCAGCTATCACCTGTGCACCACAGACACACAAAAAAGTTTTCGAAAAAATTACATAGCTTTACTGATCACTGCCCACAAAAATTGTGCAGAGAACACGAATTCGAACCTCTTCAATACTCAAATTTAACATACAAACCCTTAACCTTCCTAGCAATGTCCATCTTCCCGAAGAGGTTCCAAGTCAGTACGCCCACCACCCTCCTTTCCTCTCGACTCAGGTAGAACACCACTCCTTTTGAATAGTCATCAACACCCGCCCCACCCTCCTGTAAGAGCTAATATCACAGGATAATTACAGGGGTTTCCTCTTTCCCTTTACCTCCGTACTAGTCTTGGGGTAGACTCCACAGGTCGGCAGACTGGAGTCAACTACACCAGTGGCTTCAAAACCAACGTCAGGCCCAACGTCACTCCAAAACATCGACTGATGTTCGAATTTCTGCTGGTCTCCAGCCATGTTGCTTCCAGCCAATCTCCCGCTCACCTGAGACGAGGCTGACTGTCATGTGACTACTGTTAGAGGTCATGTGATCACCTGGGCGTGGTCGTGGTGCTCCACCCTTCGTCTCCCGAGATGTGGATCATAGAAACAAGCTGCATCTCCAGCCTAAGATGAGAGAGAAAAGTTGATGGTTGTCTCTGCCCAGAGGAAAAGGTTCTGGTCAAAATATTAAGTGATTTATTGGTTGTGCTCAGCATTTTGAGAAACTGAATCAGATTGCAGTGTTTTTGCTACAAGCATGAAATATCACATGATGTTATGCAACCAATTGTACTGCAGCTTCGTGAACAATGACTCCACAATGATGAGTCAGCACAACCAAGAAAAATACGCAATAGCTACCAGACCCTCTTTCTTTGTGGGTCTCTTAGTATATACGAGAGTAGAGGTGAATGGAGAGAGACAGAGCTGGCCTCTGCCACTGGAGACTCACCGCCCAGACATTGGAGCAAGCCTGTAGCTCTGCGTTAACCCTGAACCCCCCGAGATGACGGTCCACCTCCAGTTGCCCAGAACTGGCAAGGTCTGTGTTGGGCCAGAGACCCACCGCCACTACCACATGATCCACTGTCAGCTGTAGGAAGAGGAGGACCGGTGTCATGTGATAGTCACATGACCTGCTGCATATATTAACCTCAATTCCACTGGAAGTAGTGACTTTAACTCCACCAGACTCTGGCTCCACACTGACCGGAGTCACATTAGGAAACACCTCAACTCCCTCTGCAGTCAGAGCAATCATCCTGTTGATGAGAGGGGCAGGGAGTGAGGCGAGCTGACCTTTCTTGACCTTATCGAGAGTCCAGGAAGCGAGGGCTGGAGGAAGGACCAGACCAAGATTGCCCGACTCTGGAAACAACTGGTACACCTGCAGGCCTCCTTCCCTGTCTGTAGAGACATTAGGAAAATTTCATCAAACTTCAAAAATAAACTGTGTGTGATAGGTCCTGCATCAAAGAAGGGAGGAGTAGAGGAAGTTATCGTCATGACAAGGGGAAATAGTTTGGAAGAGCTTACATCTGGTTGCCATGCCGACAGCGAGCTCGGTGCCAAGGAAGCCACCGCCCACAACCAACACTCTCTTGGTATTCTCCAGTCTTTGGTCCAGAGTCAGGAAGTCTGGGATCTGTAGACCACACCCCTGACCACACCCACTAATTAACACACCCTCTTACCTCTCTGTAGACGGACACATGTTTCTCAACCTTTTCCCCACTGAATAATGGCAGCGTCCTCGGTCTTCCCCCTGTTGCCAGGAGACACTTGTCATAGGAGATCACATGACCACCGGCCAATGAGATTGATCCGCTCTTGGTATCCATGCCGACCACCTGTGATACAGTATGGGGCGTGGTTTCGTCTCTAGAGGTCGAGAAATGCCTGACCTTTGTGCCTGTAAGAACAGCAATTCCGCCTTCTTCCCTGTCCATTAGCTCTCCGACCTTGCAGAAATCAGCATTGTAGAACAGACTGAGAGAAACACAATACAGTGAGACTACACCTCTGAATAAGGGACACCTCGGGGACACCACAGTGTCCTTTTCCGAGGCAACAGTCACTTATTCAGGAGTATTATAACACACTGATGTATTAGAATGGCACAGAACCAGGTGTCTTGTCACTGCAGACAGTAATTAATAACGACAGGGGTTGACTCACTCGACTAGTTTCCCTCCTGACCATGGAGCAATGAACTTCAGCTGTTGCGCTGCAGCGTGATCACCGCTCAACCAGAGGTGTTTGGAGAGTGGGGGTCGACTATATGGAGAATAGTTCTCCTGAGTTACGATGAGGACTTTGGCTGCTGGGTCTCTCTCTCTGATGGCTTTGGCTGCGGCAAACGAGGCTGTCCCTCCACCAACGAGCACATATGGAACCTTGTCTGGGTTGATAGACAGAGCATACAGTGATGGTCAATGAGGGCTATTGAGAGAACAAACAGACGTACCTGGGAGAGAGATGGGTGGGGGTGGAGTCTCTGACTCTGGTGGTGGGGCACTCTCCTCTGTAGCTGCCTCAGTGGAAGATGGAGTCAACTGCTGCTCAGCCACAGCTGTGGCGGAGGAACACAAATCTCTATCAAACTGCATTTTGAGGTATACATACCTTCTGGGTGGACTGCTCCGGACTTTGCATACGCATCCTTCTTCTGCTCCACGAGTGGCTTAGTTCTGTTCGAGGTGTATACCTATGAGGAACGGCCGAGGTCAGTCGCTGGTCTAGCTATATAGCTAGAGGTCTCACCTGGTAGGCGGCCGCTACTGACGCTCCTGCAGCCGCAAGTACCAACCAAGTGTTAGTGGCTCCCGCTCCACCTCCTCCACTCTGGTAGCGGCGCGGTTGGAGCGCGGATCGTCTTGCCAGATGCCTCACGGGCTGCAGTCTGCTACAGAACACTCTGCCAGCCATAGCCGCTGTTTCTTCTCCTCAAAGGAAGGCCGTAAAATGCATGCGCACGTGCGGGTGAAAGGTCATAAACAGGTGTTTGCATCAATGACGATGAATAAAGTCACTTTTTCTTTCTTCTTTTCATGGCCTCTTTCACCTTTCTCTTCACCTCTGCTACATCCACCCTGCCTCCCCCCTCTTCCTCTCCCTCCACCTTCTTCTTTCCCTCCACTGGCGGCTTGAACGATCGCTGTCTGTCTTCTTGTCTCTTCCTCTCTGCCTCAACCTGCTGAGTCTGCCAAGCCACACCCACTAACAACACACACACACCCACGACAAGGTTCAGACCCCTACCTTCTTCAGCTCTCTCTTCCTCTCCATTCGCTGGCCCTCCTTCATAAAGTACTCGCCTGATGCCAGCTCTTTGTCAATCTGCAGAGACAAAAACCTTTATTAATCGACCATGCATATGTCAAAAATACTCTCCCTACCTTACTCTCAGGCTGAGGAGGAGGGAATGGGGTGTACTTCTTTTTCTCCTTCTGTTTCTTTGGCTTCTTCCTCTGAACATTGGAGCGTTTGAAGTTGGGCAGGAATCTGTCCCAGGACTCTTGGGCCAGTTGTGGATCCTTCATCAGCTCTCGCTTTATCATCAGAGTCTGCCAGATAGAGGGAGTGAGGCTATATCGCAGGTATAAACATATAGACGATTTCTGAAGTGTAAACATGTGTTGGTCTACCCATTTCTAGGTACTGATTGAGTTATCCTAAAACACTACTCCTCTAGGCAGTATAATATACCAGAGTAAGGCTTACCTTGATGTTGTAGATGGGGTGGATGTTCTTCATGGTGTCCTCCACAATCTTCCTGAGCTGTTTCAGTCCTCTGAAGTGGCCCACTCCAGCCACCGTGTTGCCCTGGACCAGCACGTAGCACTGTGTCAGCAGCTCTATTGCCTGCACACATACACACATACGTACAGAGAACACTGATCTCAACCATTAACAGCTTTTCCAAATAGGAATCTCAGTGTAGCAGATACCCTGAACATGTTGTTCTGTGAATGAAACTAACCAGAAATGATAAAATTATTTCAGTGCTGTGTGATGGCAAGTGTAAAAAGAGATGTCGTGTATCGTGATAAATAAAATGCTATACTTGTACGTATGTTTCTCAAATAGACAGACCTTGAGGGTAGCTCCGCTGGGTCCAACGAGTCGCCGACGGCGACGAACAAACCTCTCCTTGTTCCTGACGAAGGAGCGTATCTTGATGATGTCGCAGTCAATCTCGTCCTCCAGCACCCTCTTAGCCTGCACCGCCCGTCACATGATGAGACTCCACCCAGACCACACCCACTCACTTGCTCAAATGGGACACTCCGGGACAGAAGTTTGATGAGGTCACGAGCCTTCACAATGATGTAAGGATCCCAAGTCTTTCTCGTGGTGCTAACTGTCATACTCCCTTCTATGAGGTCCAGTCGACACGACACACCCTGCTCACACCCATTACATCATTTACAAAAACTATGACATCATCGGTATTACTCACAAGGTCCTTGAGGGAGCGAGATACATGGGGCCAGACTTGCTGGAGGTATTTCTCTCGGTAGCGAGGGAAGAGGGTAGCGAAAGAGCTCTCCTCTAGTAGCGGACCAGGCATCTCCCCTCGCTGGATGACCACCGTCTTCCAGTGGTCAATGTCCTCGCTGTCCCAGGCTGCGGTGCATACAGAGGAACTCACGTGACCAGCCGAGGTGCGAAGATTTCAAACTTACGTTTGTCTTTTCTGTACTTCTTGCTTGCTGGAGCCTCTTCCCTGGCTAAAAACCATTTTGAAATTTACGTTTATACAGAATCTTTCAACTTACCATCTCCTGGATCAGTCTCCTCTGCTTCTTCTTCGTATCGCTTTCTTTTCGACTTTGGAGTCGCCATGAGCTCTTACTCTAATTGTTGCGCACTTACTCTAATTTTTGCGCATCACACCGAGAGATCAAAGTGTAAAGCTCAGAAGCTAAGAGTGCAGGCGATCTGAAGATGGGACTGTTTGAGGGAGTCAGTTTCTACATTGCGGAGAAGACGGTGAAGGACGCGGGAGAGGTAGGCCTATAGCTAGTGTGTTATAATACGGAGTTGATTTCTTCCGGGGGGGCCCCCAGCTGAAGAATGCTCTGGTGAAAGGAGGAGGTCAGAGGGAATTCTACCCGAGCGAGTTGGTGAGTCACGTGATTAGTGACTCCCTCCCTCCCCCCTCGCTGGGTCTCGCTCGCTGCTCCACCTGTCCTATTCTCCACGTGAGTTGATCATGTCTCTAGTATGTATGACTGGTGTACGACGTCATATGAGCCGGAGGTCTGGCGAAATACCACGGCTGACCAGCTTTTGGCAAACCTTCTTCTGAGTCCATTGTTGTAGGTAACCTTTTGACATTCTCTTATCTCTATAGTCGGATTGGGTCTTCATGTCCTGTCGATGCGGTGTTCTTCTCCCGTATCCTCTCCTTAGCTCCTTGTTTGATTGTTCTAATGAGGGTGTCCCCTGTATATGTGTGAGTGTGTTGTGTGTTTCTTGACCCACAAGTCACCAGAACTGCTCCATTCTCTCTAAGAGAAGATAAACTTTTCTCTGGTCTCGTCTTCTGCCCATCAAAGGTTATGCACTGCCCCTTCATTTCTGTGTCCTAATGGAAATCTTCCCCCATTCCCTATCCTCAGCTCCCACTGGCCGACACGGAGAAGCTGGCGTGTCTGGTCTTCTACTATGGAGGCAGATTACAGCTGAGGCTTGACGCAGCTGTCACTCATCTCGTTACCATGGATACCAATGGTGTACGTCCACTTCACTCAACTCACCCAACAAAACTCAGTATACTGTATATATGTCAATATTTCTTTGGCCAACAAAATGTTTTCCTGGTTTAGAATGTTTTCTTGTTTGTTGTTTTGTTTGTATCTCTTGTTTGTTGTTTTGTTTGTGTCTCAGGCAAAGTATGAGGCTGCAGTGAGACATGGAGTGAAAGTGGTGGCTCCTGATTGGTTGATTGACAGTATCGAAACAGGGGTCTTGGTCGAGGAGGAAGAGTACCACCCGAGATTGAGGGGGCGTGGTGACCACACCCACCAATCACCCCAGAAGGCCTCACAGTGCAACGGTGATGTGCAGGAATCGACCGATGAGAGTCCGGGGCACACCACAGGGGGCCAAACTAGGACCACTGCTGACCAAACGGTGCCAGAGACTGCCACAGCTGGAATGGTGGATAGAGAAATGAGGGGAGAAGATGGAGAGAGGAAGGAGAGGATGGATGGGGAAGAGGAGATGGAGGTCGAAGGTGGGGTATTGGAATCTGCTCCTGTCATTACTAGAGAAGATGAGAACATGGCGAGAAGTGTGGGCGGGGGAGGTGAGGAAGGAGAGAGGTTGCTGGCTGGACTTGTCTTCCATCTCACTGGGTATCTGGAGTGTATGGACGTTGACACCCTCTCTAAATGGAAAGAGGTACAACTATTACATGATGTCATTTGTTGACCTTTCGAAGTCTCAACTAGTTCTTAGTCACATGGCCATCATTTCATTCTTACACAGTACACACACAATGCATCCAGATTTTTGAACTCTGAGTGTAAGAAATAACCACGCCAAAACCGTTGTAATAGAGTACCATTGGGTAAAACTCCTATTCCATCAGTTCCCTCTTCCCTATCACAGGTGATAGTTCAACATGGTGGCTCAGTGGTCGACATGTATGACTCCGCCCACTGCACACACCTCCTTGCCCTCCACAAGAAGAGCGACACCTTCGCCAAGGTCTGCCCACTCTCCTTGAGTCATGTGACAGTCACCTGATGATCATGTGACTTCCCTCTACAGGCCTACGCGGATGGGAAGTGCATATCGAGTGCTCACTGGTTGAACGATGTTCTCACTGACGGCAGAATGTTTCCTCCGCGATGCGCTCTGCATTTTCCAACCGCCTTCAAATGGCAAGTCCCTGGAGCTGACAAATATGTGAGTGTCATAATCATGTGATGTCATGTGACCAAGACTCCACCCTCCTGCAGTCTGTCACACTGACTAACTACAGTGGAAGAGAGAGGGAGCTGGTGAAAGACATGATACATCTGACTGGCATACCTTACACCGGCCATCTCTCTAGGGACACCACCTATCTCATCTGTAAAAGGTTTGACCTCCAACCTAGATAATCTCCAAACTGACTTTTCTGTTGCAGTCCCAGTGGAAATAAGTATGAGAAGGCGGTGGAGTGGGGAGTAACCGTTGTTAATGCCAGTTTCCTAGCTGACATCATCCACAGTAAGTCCCTCGGTCAGTTTGTCTGTAGCTCTGACTATACCTCTGATCTCTCTGTAGATGGACAGGTACCAGCTGTACTGTTCCCAAGGCACACTGAGGTGGGTCAGCCTCATGAGTTCCTTCCTTCTCACTGCTTCGAGGCCAGCCGACTCCTCAGTGAGACCCCCCCATCTCTTCTTCTCCTTCCTTCTCGCTTTCTTCCTATTCTGATGTGAAAAGCTGGGCTGTTTTGCAGTAGATGGTTTACGGACATTGAAACTTTTCTGCACATTCGATATGAATACGCAATGAGCACTACTGTGATTTAACAGATATGGCTTCTCTTGTGTACAATAGGTTTTATAATCTCCCCTCTCTTTCTCTCTCTGTGTGTTAGGGCCATGGGAGGAGTTTCTACGGCTGTACTCGGAGGCTCACAGAGCCTGTCTGGACCACACTACCACTGATCTGGTGTTCCGGTCTCTGAGGAAGAGGGTGGGGGCGGAGCTAGGGGGTGTGGTCAAGAAGCAGAGGGTGGAGGAAGGGGCGGGGCCACCGGTGGTCCTGCTGACTGGAATCAGTCAGTCCATTTCTAGGAGACTGAGAGAGGTAAATTGCCAGTTCCCATCAGCACCACATCTTCCTCACACTCACCTTTTTCTCAGACTGTGCAGCAGTTGGGAGGAGTTGTCAGTGACAGACCACGGGACTGCACCCATCTTGTCGCCCCTCGAGTGAGTCCTGTTTTTAATGTGCAGCGCTTCAACGACGAATGTGCCTTTGATAGCAGAGTTCTTTCAAAACTCGAAAAGAACTCTGCTATCAAGCTCGCTGGCTGAATTAATCCTCCCCACTTTCTTCTATCTGTCTCCCACTGTCTGTCTCTGTACAGGTGGCGAGGACGGTGAAGTTCCTGAGTGGAGTGTCAGTCTGTCGCTGGGTCCTAACTCCAGATTGGATAGAACAGTGCGAGAGGGAGGGACGGCTCGTTAGCGAGGAGGGGTTTACCCTCAGAGACCCAGACGCTGAGGCCATGTTCATGATGGACATACCAAGCAGTCTGCAGAGAGCTAGAACTTCCGAGTTTCTTCAGGTATACCTATAGTACTAGAGCTCATTGAGTGAGGAAAAGTCACAAATTATCAGACACACACAAAGTCTGTTCAGTGCTGATTGACTACTGTTTTCTGCCAGTAATCCAAACATACTGATAGTCTCTAATGACAATGGTGATGAATGAATGCAGGGCTACTGGCTGCACGCCACAGCTAGTGTCCAACCATCCCCTGAGAGTCTGAGAGACATCATCGAATGTGCTGGAGGAAGAGTGAGTCACACACACAACTTCTCTATCTCTACACCATTTTTATAGTGGTCTGTGTACTGTGCCATATGTCGCCGAACTTGGCCCACACTTTCATCCCCAGCTGGTGAGTTCCAGCGAGGCCCAAGGACGGTTTGGAAGAAAGTTTGAGAGAATGGTATACCAGAGATCACGTGATGTCATGTGACCTCTCATGTGATCTATCACACAGGCTGGCAGTGAGGTGCAGTTCTTGGTTCTGTCAACTCCCGAAGACTTATGCTCTGGACTTTGCACCCTGTTCACCTCCCACGGTGTCCGTGAGTAATTCTAAAATGAAAAGCACTAAACCCTCGGCACACTATATAGACATGTGGAACCCATACACAAGTGTGGCACCACCACAATTGATGGTCTTGACCATGCATCAAAAAGAACAGCATGTTATGCACAATTTCCATGGCCTCAATAGGTTGAAAAAATAGCCAGCCCCATTTCTGTTTGTGGGCAAAAAAATATATAAGGTTGAAAAATTGCCAACCTTTCATCTCTCTATTAATTTTCGTATTACCCATGGATTGTTTAGTGCAAAAAAAAAATATATTGTAAAAACCCAAGGGTGAAAAAAAAATCGGCCAGCCCTTCATCTCTCCAGACAGACGTCTACGGACGCAGTGCTATGCCGAACTGTACGCTGCCCTTCGAGAAACATGGGTCAGTGGTAGATTTGTGGGTAAGGGGAGGAACCAGAGCTGTTCCCAGCCAATGCTCTGGACCATCTGACATTTTCAGTGCGGGATCGAGGATACGAACCCCGCACCTATGGTGTCAGTCCCCACGACTCTAACCACCTAGCCACTCGGGCTGGCCTTGAGAGCTGATGAAAAAACGTTCCATATATACCAACACTCCTATTACATCATTGTAAAAAAGGCGTACACACCCGGGATCGAACCAGGGACCTCACGATCAAGAGAGGGGGTGCTTATCCACCAGACCACCACCATTACTTGAATGGGGTTTTATCCCGCTAGTATATAGCTCGCGGAGAGTCTGACACGGGCTAGCTACAGTAGTGTCGATACACGCCCTTCGTTGTGGCTTCTTGTGCCTTCAAGACACAGAGCGAGCGGACGCGGTCGAGGTAAGCCTGTGCTAATTAAATGCATATTGGCTTGTTCACTTGCCATAACTTTTGAACGCAGAAGTTATATCAAAATCGCCTTTTTAAAATGAGGCTAGTGTAGCGATGAACCTCTTCGTGTCGCTATTTCGTTGTCTCGTTGCGCGTGGTCGCGGTAACGACGAACGGACACGTATATACACACTATAATTATACACACATCTCACGAACCAACCCTCGCTGCGCATGCGCGCCGAGTGATAATCATTTCACATGATCCGGTCTCTCTCGGTCCAGCTGTCTACAATGCGGAGCTGGTGTTGACGGGAGCACTGCGACAACAAGTGGATCTCTCTCAGTATCCTCTTCCTTCTTTACTTGTGGTGTCATAAGTTCTTAGGCATTTCTGCTCATCCCTCCCCCAGATTAGGAGATCTAAGTTTAGTGTGTGAGTGTGTGCAATAGCCTTAGCCACTGGCAGAAATCTCCTGTTCCCAGCAGCTACCAGTGGAATGAATTCAGGACCTGCAAACACGTCCTCATGCAGTACCACCTCTGGACCTTCCACCAATGAAGAATGAGACAGAAGCAAAACTAACGCTTTTTTATACTCGCAATACTTGCTATCGACATGTTTTATGAAAAATCACGCTACTATATATAATTTTGATGAACAATTTGATGAAGTGATGATCAGTGGGTTATAAATAGAAGTGATCAATGGTGATGTAATGGTAAATGCATATTCATGACCTCGTCCTCTAGTGATAGGAGGTAGTCAGTTCTGTTGCTAGGCAACTCTGTCTCCAATAGCAGCAGCCCCTCCCTTACATGTGGGAGGGGTGGGGCCTGGGAAAAGTGGGTGTGGTCAGAGGCAGTAGCAGAGAGGGTGTTGCTGGAGAATGGGTGTGGTCCTCGGAGAGAGAGGGAGGTGGCAGATATGAGGGAAGCCGGAGTCACCAGACCTTGCAGGCCATAATGCTGGAGGTAATGGGAATTAAATAGAATGGGGTGATTATTAGGTTGTTTCCAGATACATGCAAAACAACCATTCTGTGATAGTTGAAGGAAATGACCCAAATCCTTACAGTACAGTTTAAAGGGAGTTCGTTTAAAGGTGGGCTGCAAGCCAAAAAATTGGTCACTGCACAGTATGTACAACAATCACACTGCATTACAAACCTTGAGTCCATCCCAGATCCTTACTGCCATCATATTTCCCTCGCCATCCGCCATGTACACTGTGTCCAACTTCCTACTGGAGCTGCTGCAGATGATGTCATTGTTTATTACATCATTATGACATCGTACCCCACCTACCCGGTGGGTGTTGCCTCCAGCTGTTCGCTGATGACACTCACCACAATTCCGACGGTGTCAAACTCCCCACACCACACCCCCTCCCCCCTCACCAACCTCCCAATACTCACACACTCCCGCGGCCGGTAGCCTTCTAAAACTTTCCCCATCTCACACTGGTCCATGTCCACAGCCTCGAATCTGGTGCGAGGGGAGGCCGACATCTGGAGGCTGCCAGACCGGCTTTTCCTGTTTGAGCTGTTGAGGTTCCACATCCTCACCAGTTTCCCCTCCACCAGCACCGACGTCACACCCTCACGAGGCTGCCAGACAGACAGCGTGCAGTTCACTTGTGGAGGGTTGGGGCCTCGAGATACAAGTCTGCACATAGAGAGAGGACACCTGCTTTATCTATAGCAGAGAGTTGGGAAATGCAGTGCACAACAGAACTAACTTCAGTTGTCAGAAACACTACTCTTTTGCTCACTAGAGAGAAATGGCAATACTAAAGACCTGGAGTATTACCTGACTCTGAGAAGAGGAGTGGAGGTGTGCGGGAGAGGCAGTCTCCCTCTCTCCTCCTCTTCCCTCACTGCCTCCTCAACCCTTTGTCTCAACTCAGTCTGTCTCTTCTCACGGAGCAGCAGGTGGTAGCTCTCCAACATGGCCACTTGCATCGACGACAGAGCCTCCTGTGCACAGCAACACATGTAGCAACAATAATCTCTCTTTTACTGAGTAGCAACGTAAAAGTAGGCTCACAGATGGAAATAATTATAGTTACTGTTTCTTTTGTATTACCCAGGCATCTTTCTCAATGTACATACATGTACAGCAACTGTTTTGTATTACCCAGGCATCTTTCTCAATGTACATACATGTACAGCAACTGTTTTGTATTACCCAGGCATCTTTCTCAATGTACATACATGTACAGCAACTGTTTTGTATTACCCAGGCATCTTTCTCAATGTACATACATGTACAGCAACTGTTTTGTATTACCCAGGCATCTTTCTCAATGTACATACATGTACAGCAACTGTTTTGTATTACCCAGGCATCTTTCTCAATGTACATACATGTACAGCAACTGTTTTGTATTACCCAGGCATCTTTCTCAATGTACATACATGTACAGCAACTGTTTTGTATTACCCAGGCATCTTTCTCAATGTACATACATGTACAGCAACTGTTTTGTATTACCCAGGCATCTTTATCAATGTACATACATGTACAGCAACTGTTTTGTATTACCCAGGCATCTTTCTCAATGTACATACATGTACAGCAACTGTTTTGTACTTTCATCCATTCATGAAAATTTCCACTGACCTAAGCATACATGGTGGGGAATTCCCCTCAATATTAGAAATAAGCAGATGTTAAGAAAAGTATGTGAGTAACCTGAAAGGTGAGAGGGTCTGAGGAGTTGGTTAGAGCAGTGTGGATGGCCTCTCCGTCCTGCAGCTGCTTCACCTGGGCCGTGTTGAGTCTCCGAGACCTCCTCCAGCCCACTCTTGAACAACCATCTGCAATCAGCAACATTGATGACTATTATCACACCAGTAGGTCTGTGTATATACTGGGGTACCGGGATAATGCTGAGCGAAACTATCACAGTTTGTGGGCTGTCGACAAAAGTGTTCTCATTTTTCATTGCTGGACAAGCAAATTACGAACGTACTGTTTGCAACATTCTCATTTGCCATCAAATCGTGAAAGGTTTGAAAGTTTACTATTACATACTTTTGTTGGCCAGTTCTTCCTCCAGTTCCCTCTGCACTCTGCTGGAAATGGCCTCAATCTTTCTCTGCCTCATCTCATGATGTCGACGACCTGCTTCCTCCTCCGCACGGCTGCTCCGGAAGATATTCCTCCCATCTCTGACCTTCTCCATATAGATTAGGGGGTAGACCCTGGCAATTACTGCCTCCGTGCACCCCACCAGTCCACCATCAGCGAACAAGGAGGAGAGAGGGAGGGAGAAGGGGAGCGGACAAGTTTGAAATCCGAGTCTCACGTACCATCTGGCTCTGCGGGTTGAATTAGCCGAGAGACGAAGACAGAGGGTGGGCGGGGCCTCGAGAGGGTGGCACCCGTCAGCTGACCCCACCAGTTCAGCTCCGTATGTGACAATCTTTGTCCCGACGGAGAGTCTTCTGCAGTGGACCATGTACTGCAACGGAGGGTCCAGGATCCCTGGCAGACTGTACCAGCCATCCGTCACCTCCACTGTGGGGTACCCCGTATCTCCGCCCTCAGACGTGGGGGGTTTGGAGTAAGGACCGGAGTATACTCCACTCACACACAGGACGAGCCTCCGGTGACTGACTTCATCTCTCTCACAGATCCTGCGGAGGGCAGGTCTCTCAGCAGCCTCCATCTCTCTGTCGTATCGATACCTCATTTGCTTCATGAGCCAGTCCGGAGTGAGCCAGCGACCTCCGCACTCCCTGGGGAACCTCGTTTCCATGGCAGCCAGTTTCCAAACAAGCCACCGATAGTGGTTCTGGAACCACTGGAACGAAACCAGCCCTCTATCGACCCCGGGAGAACTAGCAAACGCCTCCCACAGCTCCTCGGGGCCAGCTACTCCATTGTTCAGTCTCAACGTGGCACCATCCCCCACACACACAGCTGCTCCATCCAACACAGCAGAACTGAAGAATAACTCTCCGTTGAAGGTGTAAGAGGAGGCAGAGTCGGTAGTCACGGCGACAGTGGTGGGGTGGACTCCAGCTCGGTACAGCTGTCTGAGTGAGAAGTTCCCCGGGTGACCTCTGGCAGACAGAGGGAGTCTGGCCTCCGAGTGCTGCGAGTGAGCTGTCAGCAGAGAGCCAGCAGATCGAGGAATGACCTTCTTTCTCACAGGTCTCCTCCTCAGAAAGGGTCTGGGCACCTCAGAAGTGAGGGGAAGATCAGTTCCGGCATCCAGGCTGTCATTCAGTGTGTCCAATGCATATTCTCCAACACTCTCAATGTCTTTCATTCCGTCCTCTTCCTTTTTCTCTCCGTCATTTCTCTCTAAATGACAGTCTTCCCTGGCGGTGTCTTTGTCAGGAGAAGGTCGTTCCTCATTCTGTGAGCAATAATTGCCTCCCTGCCTCTCTCCGTCTCTCTCTGTACCAGTGACAGAGTCAGCATCCACAGGAGACTGGTGAGGAGAGTCATTTCCCCCTTCGGTCTCGTCCCCAGCCTCCTTATCTCTCTTTCCTTTACCACTGCTGGCTGCAGACAGTGGCCTGACAGATCTAATGCTTCCAAGTCTGTACCTACAACATTCACAAAATGAGGAGAAATTAATTGTGGGGTTCGTGTCCGGAGAAAGTCACATGCTTTAGAGAGAGAATCACATTTGCCCATGTTTTGTACGCCTATACCTGTGAACTGGGGCACACATGTAGGAGCCATCAGGCCCCAGGAATGTTTGAATTGGGGTCAAAGGTCGCCTGCCAGTCGTTCTATCACAGATCAAACCTACAATGACATAAAACATTAGACATTACATCATTGAAAGAGACTATAATTATATGTATATACCTTCAGGGGTGGTGTGTAGACCACGAGATGACGACTGTTGGTCCGCTGGGGTGGGAGTGGGCATGGCAGTGGGAGGAGCTTCAGGCTGGGTGGGCGGAGCCTGTTGGCCTCTTCTGAAGACTGGTTTATACCTGACGGAGGTTCTGGACGAAGACATGAGGTGTGGCTTTGTGGCTAGCGGTCTAAAGTGAGGGCGAATTCGAAGTCTTTGATCATTGCTAGTGTTTGTTGACGATGGAGCACAAATTGAGGGGTCAGTCGACGAGTTTGTTGATGATGAAGAACTAATTGAGGATGATTTATCACTAATGGAGGGGCCAGCTGGCAATTGAGAAGAACAGGATTTCTCTCCTCTCACAGCAGCAAGAGCTGTTTCTGACACTCTGACTTTGATCCCTGCTGCAGTCTGGAACCCCATGAACACAGTACCTCCTCCGCTCACTGCCTCTTTCCCCTTTGACTTTTCCTTTTCTTCAGTTCTCACTGAGTCTTCCTCTGCCCCAGTCCCTGTCTCTCTCACAGCTCTGAGTGCTGCCTCCGATATCTCTACCTTCCTCCCACTGGCTGTCATCAGCCCAGGCAGTGGCACTGACCGAGTCTCAGGTGACAGGAGCTGGTTTCCATCTCTCTCACCTACTGATGGGGCCCTCTCCCCTGTGGACTCAGAGCTCCCAGAACCTCTATGGAGCAATTGTCTGGCGGCTGATAGAGCTGAGGATGACACAATCACCTCTTTGCCACCGGCAGTCATTAGTCCAGGGAACGAGAGGGGGGCACTCTTTTTCACAATCGCTGGAGAATTACTGAGTGAGTGGTTCAGATCATTTCCATGCATCGCCAATGTTTCTTGTTCCTTTGAACCTGCGACTGGTTCTTTTCCCACAACTAGATCCATGTCATCATCGGAGTGATTCTCTCCTTCCTCAAGGGCTGCTGGACTACAGCTCCTCCTCAGCTCACAGCCACCATTCATGCCTGATTCCATCTCTTCCTCACATGCCATTACCTGCTCCACTGTTCCCTGGTATGGCAACTGTCCCAGAGTATCTCCATCATTAGCCTCGGGACTTGTCACTCCAAACAACTCATCCATTAGTGTCTGGCTGGTTGTTCTCTCGTCCACCACCTCCTCTTCCAGTTCCTTCTCCTCCTTCACCCCCATTCCTGTTAGTCTCTCGGCCTTGTGCATGGCTCGCTGTGGAGAAGACTTCTCTTCTTCGCCGTCACTGTCTTCAGGAAACTCAAGAAACTGTCTCACAGCCTGAGTTGAGAAATAGGCACTGCAGTCTTCCTCAACCTCATCGCCACAGTTTCCCTCCATCGAACCACCCTCATCTCTTCCGGAACTTTCTTTCTTCATCATCTCTGCCTCAGCAGACTGCTGGTTGAACTGACTGAAGACAGTAAAGTCAACCAGATCCTCTCTACCAAAGCCTCTGGTATATAAATCATCTGAGAACTCCCTGGCCTCGGGGAAGGCTCCATTTCCACAGGTTGATGGCCTTGTTTCTGTCACCAATGGAGGGTCAGTTGAAGTGTTGATATCAGCCAACAGAGTGCGAGCTCTCTCCACAGCCTTGCCTGACAGAGACAGAGCTTTCCCTGAGGCCAACTGGAACCCACTACATACAGACATTCTAATACCTTTTGAAGCAGAAGAGGTACTGGCTGATCCTGAACCAAAGAGAGCGATAGAAGTAGAATTTGAGCAGAGATCCACAGCAGCACTAGCTGATCCTGAAACACACGGACCCATTGAGGTGCGAGGTAATTCTGTAGCAGCCGAATCAGTTGATGCTGGCGTTATTCCATTCTCTTTGTCCGAGGCCACCAGCTGCTGTGCTCGGCGGAGAGCTGAGGATGACACGCTAAGCTTCCTGCCATTCCCAGTGGAGAACCCACACTCCACATGATGGGAGGGGGTTTGCACAGCCCCTCCCTCCTCGACCCCTGCCCCTGCTCGCCTCATCCCCCTCAGGAGTCGAGCCACCCTGGCCTTCTCCTCCACCACCGACACATTCGCTGCTGGACGAGGAGGATTGAACGGCCTCGCTCTCGATCTCAGTACTCCTGCCGAACGAGCTCTCTTACAACTAGAGACATTGAGAGGTGTTAGCTGCCGAGGTGTTGCGACACAGTGTGGCTGTGGTGGAGGCACACTGCGTGGTTTCTTCATGTCATCTTTTGACAAAAGTCTCTGTGCCTTCTGTAGGGACTTTTCAGAGAGGGAGAGGGAGCATCCGGAGGCAGTCTGGAAACCAACAAAGGAGGGAAGAGGAGGAAGAGAGGTGGACACATGGGCAGTGGGAGAGGTTGGAGATGGGAGAGGATTGTCTCGCAGTTCTGGGACCCTGCTTCCTCGCAGAGGGACAACCACATGTGGTCCAACATTTGAAACCTTTTCTTCTTCTTTCTCTTCCTCTCCTTTCTCTGCATCCTTATCGTCTGGTCTCATTTCACAGTCACTCTCTGCCACTGATTCTAGTTGGAGCTCACCACTTGAAACTCTCCCTTCAATCTCCTTTTCTTTCTCTTCTTCTTCATCTTCTTCTCCATCCTCCTTCTCATCTTCTTCTTCACTCATTTCACAGTCACTCTCTGCCACTGATCCAAGGAGTGGAGCAGCGTCTGCAACTCTATTCACACTGTCAGGAGCAGTTGGTTTCTGGTCAAAGACCTCACCCAGGCAACTGGCCTTCTTCACCGGAGGCTCTGCAGAGCTGATCTCCTCTATCTTTCTCTTGCCCCTGGTCTGATTACCAATTCCCCTGCCAGTCTGCCTGTCAGTCTGCATGCCGCTAGGGTAGAGAAAGTTGTTGATTGTTGTCTTCGAAGGAAGGTTGGGATTGACTTGTGATTCAGATCTAGTAGGATTGACTTGTGGCAGATCTCTGACTGGAGAGAATTGCATTTGAATTTCATAGTGATTGACTTCTCCATTGATATCAGCGCTTGCATCATTACCATTGGGATTGACTTGTGTTGAGGTTCTGATCTGAACGACCTCTGTTTGGTTGACTTGGTGGGTGCAGTAGGTGTCATGATTGAGTTGAGTCTGATTTTCTATGGGGTTGACTTGCCTTTCATTTGTTGTTTGATCAACTTGTATCTGATCTCCATTGGTCTGCTCTTGTATTGGATTCCTTGAAGATTTTTGATTGGCTGGAGCTTGCCCCTCCCCCTCCTCACCACTGCACCGTGCTCCCTCTTCCCTCTCCTGATTGTCAGCTAACGCAGGGTCTCCCTCGTCCTCAGGTCTAGCGGGAGACTCTGGGACCGTGGCCACCAGGGGACTATCTGGAACCCTCTCCACACAATCAAACACATCCGGACTATCAAACAGCTCCTGACTGGAGACCGGGGCCTCCTCACAGAAGCCTTGGTTGAGTCCCACACTCTCTCTCTCACTCCTCCTCCTCTTCCTCCCCTCGTCAATTTCAAACCTCCTCCGTCCCTCAATCTCTGGCCTCGTTGGTGTCTCTGCAACGGTGTTGGTACCACTGATGAGCGAAAGGCTGGTATTATTAGTGGGCGGGGCCTCGGGAGAGCAGGGTCGCTGTACAGTGTGAAGCAGAGGACTGGCAGGGATGGGGGAGAATGGGAGAGGTGTGGCAGGAAGTTGCTGAGCCGTGCTGGAGGCCGTGGAATGACACTGTGGCGACTGGCGTCTGAATAGTGTTCTTATCACATTCTGCAGAGGAATGATTGATGATGTAAGAATGACATCATCAGATTACTTACTTTGCCTTTCGCTGCCAGTGACCTTGGTCTTGTTTTAGTAACTGTTCTCTCCATATCTGCAATACATACATTCAATGAAATCTGTGAATTTTTCCTTATTTTCCATTGAATAGTGAAAGTTTACTCCCAAAAGATTCCGCTATGGACTTACCAGATACTTCCTCATCAGTGGTGGTAACAATGGGGGTTTCCCTTTTGACGGCATGTCGGAGATTGGTGGGTGTGGCCATAGAGACTGACCAATCAGCAGAGCTGTCTGAGCCGAGGGTGGGAACCACCGGGGATGATGCCTGCAGGACAAGGATCATGAAATGATCAGAGAAATCGCAGTGGGGATCTGATGAAACTGAAAACTATGTATGGGCATAATATGATGCTACATACCTTGTGGAAAGGTGTGCTGGATAAAGTGATATCTGTGGAAAATATTTCTCATTGATGCACTAACAACACTACCACCTCACATTTCATGTCAGCGATCTGCAGTGGAGACTCAGCCACCTTGATCTCGTGTTCACCACTACCACAGGACCTCGCCTCCCGACACACCGTCACTGGGAGACCTCGGTTCTCGCATGACGAGCCTGCAGAACACTGAGCAGCTAATACTAGGCAACGCACTAGCTACAGGAAAACGACGACCTCACGTACCTTCAGCCAGTTGCAAAATAGTAAGCTCCTCCACACGAGTCCCAAAACCTACTGTTCCCTGCATCCCGTCTTTCCCTCTGCCGCCGCTGCATATGAACGTCCTCCTCCGCGCGCGCACCTGCGCCAGTGTATTTCTCCAATTAAAGCGCACCGCTGAGTCAGCACATTACACAAGGCTGGGACGAGAGAAATGCACGATGATGGAACGGACAGTCGTATCAAGACCTTTGCCAACATCTTCATCTCTTTCATCGGAGCAGGCATTCTGGGACTGCCCTATGCCTTCAAAGAGGTGTGTGCGTGGCAGTGGCGTGTGAAGTTCTATCTCTCTCTCTCTCTCTCTGATCCTCTCTCAGAGCGGGATCGTGGAAGGCGCGGTGGTCATCAGTATCGTGGGAGCAGTCAGGTACGTATATACCGTCTCTCTGTTGTCGTGTATCACGTGATCTGTCGCGTGTGGTGCAGTATAAAGTCCATGTTTCTACTGATTGACTGTAAGAACAGAATGATGTCCAAGGCCACACTCACTATGGCCACCAAACTACCCAATGGAGTGAGCCAATCCTCTCTCTCTCCTCTCTCTCTCATACACACATTACATACAATACTCTGTTGTGCCGTTAGTAAACCAGGACCAATGTAAGGCACTGCTTATTATGGTGGTTGTAATGACACTTGCCTTTTTCTCCTTCCAGACTTCATCTCCTGTCACTTCTAAAAACATTGAATATGGAGATGTTGGTAGGAACACCTCACTGTAATAAACTCCATTCACCACTCACTTCTCTGAACTGTAGGAATGTTGGCTCTAGGCTCGTTTGGACGATGGCTGGTGGACATCAACATCCTCATTTCTCAAGTTGGTCAGTCGCCAGTTCACTCTCTCCCCCCTCTCTTACACCTCCTCCCCTCTCCCCTATAGGGTTCTGCTGTGCCTACCTCATATTCATCTCTGAGAATCTCCACAGTGTCTTCCCTCGCGTGTCTCAGTTAGTGACTCATCCTCCCTCCCTCCCTCTCCTCATCTCATCCTCTCTCCCTCCCTCTCCTAATCTCATCCTCTCTCCCTCCCTCTCCTAATCTCATCCTCTATGTATGTAGACTGGTCTACCTCTTTTCTCTCCTGCCTCCCCTCGTCTTCCTGTGCAACCTTCGTCACCTCAAGCACTTGGCTCCATTCAGGTACACACGACCACTCGTCCTCTCTCCATACAATAGTTCACAACCATTACCCCCCTCCCCCTCTCTCATCCTTTGTCTCTCATTTCTTCAGTTTGTTTGCGGACTTTGCCACCATCTTTGCCTACGGAATTGTCTTCTATTTTGACATGGAACACTTCCACCTACTTCAGTATGCCCTGACTACTACTAAATATCGAGGCAATGATTTTTAGCAGACTAAAATGTAAAAGGTTTTGCTGAAGCAAATTTCACAGCACCTAAAATATCTTTTAAAATGACTTTGCCAGATTAACTGTATCTCCACTAGACTTTTTCTCTGGGTCACATTGTCTGATCCTACATTTCCATCTCTTTAGCTTCCACATACGAAACTACTCATTAGAGGGGCTCCCCTTCTATCTGGGCGTGGCAATCTACTGCTATGAGGGGGCGGGGCTAATCCTCTCTCTCGAAGGCTCCGTCAGCAAAGACCTCCGGGGCAGCTTCAAGACCATCTTCCTGGTTGCCATGATAATTGTCACATCTCTTTATGTTGGGTTTGGTGTCTGTGGCTACCTGTCATTTGGACCAGACACAGAAGACATCATTACCCTTAATTTACCAGGAGGTACCCCTCCCTCTCTCTCTCTCTCTCACCTCTGTCTAAACTGCTCTACATTTGATGTTGCAGGTCTTTTTCCGTTCTTGGTGAAAGGGTTTCTCTGTTTTTCGCTCTACTTCACTTACCCCAGTGAGTCGTGCAGAATATTCCTCTCCCTCTCTAGTTAACCCTTCTCACACTAGTCATGCCCTCTTTAACCCTTCTCCCACCAGTCATGATGTTCCCGGTGACCACTGTATTGGAACGAATGTTCTTCTCTCAAGGAACTGCTGATACCAACTACCTCCTTGGAGTGAGAGCGAAAATAGCAACTTTCGTAATCTGTCTCTCCCCCTCTCTCTCTGCTGATATAGTGTGTGCTGCGTTCTGTACTGGTGCTGGTATCTGGGCTAATAGTGGTGGCCATTCCTAACTTCTCTATCCTCATGGCTCTGGTTGGCTCTGGCTGCTGCACCATGCTGGGGTTCATCCTACCTGCTGTCTTCCACTGGCTCATCTTCAGAGGGTCAGCAAAACACTAGCTAGCCAGTTATGTACAGTGGAACCACTGAATGTAGAGGACACCCCTCTCTATGAGGCACCCCTCTCTATGAGGACACCCCTCTCTATGAGGACACACCTCTCTATGAGGACACACCTCTCTATGAGGACACACCTCTCTATGAGGACACCCCTCTCTATGAGGACACCCCTCTCTATGAGGACACACTTCTCTATGAGGACACACTTCTCTATGAGGACACCCCTCTCTATGAGGGCACCCCTCTCTATGAGGACACCCCTCTCTATGAGGACACACCTCTCTATGAGGACACACCTCTCTATGAGGACACACCTCTCTATGAGGACACCCCTCTCTATGAGGACACCCCTCTCTATGAGGACACCCCTCTCTATGAGGACACACTTCTCTATGAGGACACACTTCTCTATGAGGACACCCCTCTCTATGAGGACACACCTCTCTATGAGGACACCCCTCTCTATGAGGACACACTTCTCTATGAGGGCACCCCTCTCTATGAGGACACACCTCTCTATGAGGACACACCTCTCTATGAGGACACACGGTGCTCCCATACATTACACTACCTCTGAATAAGGGACACCTCCCTTTAAGGACACTTGGTTCTGCCATTCCCTGCTGAATAAAGAACACTTGTGAATGAAGGACACTTTCAATGTGCCTCTTATCCAGATGTTCTATATATAGTACCACCTGGTGTTCCATGTCTCTCTCTTCCACTACTGCAGGGACCTCAGTCTGGGTGCTAGACTGTTCAATATGTTCCTCATCATTCTGGGAATTACAGGGTCAGCCCCACATTCCACCTCTCGCTGCATGTTGCTATAGTACATGGTATACCCACTCTTTCAATACCTCATCAGTAATGGTTCCCTCTCTCCTCCTTTAGTTCAATCATCGGGACAGTGGATGCAATCTCTCGACTCTATGGAGACAAGACAACGGCACAGGTCCAGCCGTCCATTTCTCCTCCACTCTCACTCCACAACTACCACAGACGTTTCCAACCTCTCCTCCTCTTTATAAATCACTGTGTTGTAAAAATAATCTTTCAGCTCCCACCACAAATTTTTTTCAGAGTGTATATAATATCATTGTACAAAGAAATTTTTAAAAACCAACTGATATTAATGTTGCGTTCTGAGAAAGAGTTTGTAATTGTGTTCCTTGTACAACGAGGGCCATTCTTCCATGGAGATGTCAATTCTCTGGAAATTATCGTGTCGGTTGTCAAGGAGAAGACGAGCTATTCGCCGAGTCAGTACTGTACTCTGAAGATGAAGGGGTGTGGCTATGGGGAACTTTAAACATTGAACTCTGACCTCTTCCGATGCTGCCAACTCCTGCACACTCATCCACGCGCATCTCACGACTTCCTTCTCGCATGGTTTGAGGTCAAAGGTTAGAGGGTGGAGTCTACAGACGAAGTAGAGGTCCGAGCAGCCGAATGTGTGTGGCATGTGATGATGCTGTCTGAAGGCCAGTATTGATCGGAACTCTGTGCAACATTATGGAGGTGAGGTTGGCTAGTGGAGACTGTATATATACCTGTTTCAACTCCTGTCTCTTCCCTCACCTCTCTCACTGCTGCATCAGCTGCAGTAGCCAAACACCCAGCAGACAACATGTAACAATATCAAGTCTAAGACAGGCTCACGTAAACTGCAAAATCTATGTGCTGCAACTAAACGCTACTGAATGATTGCACGTATGGTTTACCGATGTCTTCTGAAGGCTCAGCTAGGCCTCCTGGGAACTTCCAGTTGACAAACTGTGTGGGGAACCCCCATTATAATTATCACCACACACGATGAGAGGCAGGTGAGACCTTGTACTTGTCCTGGATGACCAGCATTTGACCAGTCTCTTCCCTCCACACAGCCCCTGATCATGACAGTGGGAGCATGCAAATGTTAAACACAAAGTTTTAGCCCTATTATACATACACAAGAAACAGCAACAAAATTAGAATCGCCAGATTAAAATTTTTCAAGTGGGGGGAAAGAATGACAATCGTGAGTGAGTGCAAGTCAAAATTTATTTCTGCCACTATTTCATATCTATGTATCAACTTATTATTAACCTGAGACTCCGACCTGATGAGAGGCGTAGTGAGGCAGTCTACTTGAAGAGCCCTCCTCCAGCCAGGCACACAGCACCAGACTACGAGCCTCATTAGAGGAGTGGTGGAGGGTAAACCCCACCCCTACTGCCTCGTTAGCGAGGTGGAGGAGTGGGAGGGGAAGATGGAGCCACACCCCACTCCGCCCTTCGCCCTTCCACTGTTGGAGGTGGTCTAGAGAGGAGAGGTATATACAGTGTTAAGAACCTCTCTACAAAGGGTTCTGCCCCATACTAATACAGTACAATTACCTCTGAAGGAGTGAGGCCTCTAAATAGAGAATGTCCCCAAATTCAGAGGATTGACAAAATGAGAACTACGTAACTGGAGAGGAGAGATGAGAAGTGGACATTGTGTGGAGGTCTCCAGCCATGACTCCAGGCTGTAGTGAGATCTATCTTCACGGAGCGGTAAGGACTGAGCTCAGACCAAAGGGAGGGAGTCCGCAGAGGAGATGGTGCGACTGCCAGTGGGACAAGAGAGTCCGGACTCTAGCAGCCTACATCCCTGCAGATGTAATCCTCCGTTGATTGCTCAACAAATGACCAGCATACATACCAATAATCGACTGCAGAGCGAGCGAGTGAACATTATTCCTCCACTAGTCTGTCTCTTTGACCAACTTTGACCTTTCAGATTAGCCACGCCCACTTTGTCTTATTGCTAGGCAACGCAACAAGGCATGGAGAAGTGCAGCAGGAGAATTCGCTCGGTGTCGGAGCCGGCTCTGCGACTCCACTGCGGCGGGGTGTCGAGAGAGAGACGGCGGGAAAGTCAGGTCGGCTATGAAACTGGAAGAGACCGCGCCGCGCTCTCCGTCAGCCGCTGGTCCTCTGATGAGGTGCGCCCCTCAATCATCCGTTCAATAATGTGTAGTTCAGTGAACGTTCTGTGCAGGTGTGCGCGGTGCTGTACTATCTGGTGTGTCGATGTGATCAATCACAGCTCAACATTCTACATACAGTGAGCTTACCAACATACGCCACAACGTTTTTCATCGTTCTTGCAACTTCCAAGTTGCCGGCATACACTAAAGTTGCACGAAACCTTTTATTTCCCTGCCCTCTCCCTCTCTCACCGTCTCAGAGCTTGGAGAGTGTTCCACATCGAGACCTGCAGCTGAGCTCGTCAGTGGGTGTGGCCTCTGGACTTGAGCTCCGCCCAGTCTCCACCCCTCTGTCTCGAGAGGTCAGAGTCCGACTGAGAAAGTCCAGGATACCACAGGTTCATATAATACTCCATAATAATTGACTATTGAGTTTTGCTGCCTCAGAACAAGAGGTTGTACAGAGCTCAGAGTGTGGTACTCCATGAAGAGGTACATACAGTACATGGGCTGCTGCTTCTCAAGAGTGTGGTTTGTTATTCGCTTGGAATAGTTTCAACTCTGTTCTTTGTGATTACAATTTTGAGCCTTGAGGATCACACTATAGATACAAGCAGAATTTATCCCACCAAATTTGTCCCCCCTGCCAGCTCCCCATCAGATCTTTCACATCTTCCCCCCCATCACACCCTCCCCCATCAGACGGTGAGTCCTGTGACCAACAGTCCCTCCTGTCACCTCATCTCCTTTCCCAGGACACCCCTACTCCCCAGTCTCCCACCCTCACCATCTCCACTCCTCACACCTCTCCCTCCCTCCGACACACCCTCCACGCCTAGCAGGGGACACCCTCACAATGACAGCGTCCAGCCCAAATTCTTCCCTTTTCCCAGACACAATACCTTGTCCTCCGCTCTTTGCAGTGCACGATCACGTTCCTTCAGTAGAGGCGAGTAGTTGATCAAAGTGTTCAATTGTCTCTCAGATGCACACAATCCTTATACCAAAATGACCTGGTTCTCTAGTCTCACTGCAGGTTAGTGGCTCACATTCCATCTACATAATGATGTAATGATGATGAATAATCCATTCAGGTGGCAGCAGCTCGAGGCTGCTTGCAGCATGTTGATATCAGTCTGACGGCTCCACCACCGCGTATAGTTCCATGTCTGCCATCCTAAGCTAGATTAGTTCTCGAGTCTCTCTGTTTTTTCCTCTCCCTCCCTCACGACGTATCAAGCTCGCATAGAAGAAAGACAGTCCAGGAGAAAAGTCAGGGACCCAGTATGTTGCCTTCCTTAGCCTCTGGCACTCCACTATGCCCTTCATACGTACCACCTCAAACCTCTCATGAACTGTCAGGAGCCCCTTTACACAAACACACACCACACCCACACGTTAAATAATCATTTAACAAGCCACAATTGGGCAGATATAGTGGTCCTTGATTTTCAGAGATGCACCTAGACAATATATTAGGGAATCAATAACTGAGAGGCGGGGAGGAAGGGAAGAAGAAAATGTTTCCTCTTTTCTAGAGTAGTTCCACTGTATCAACTGTGGCTGTGAAACTGCAGGTGTCAGATTTTGGCATGAGAGGATGCACCATGCAAAAACAGCTCTCTGGAAAAATCTATTTATCGAGAACTGGGTAAGAAACTCACTCTAAATGCAGTGAACAATAGGTCTGAAATCATGTGTTCCGAGATTAAGGTGTGGAGCTTTGTGAGAGAAGGTTGTTTATAGCAGTCTGAGGATGAAGTTTCAATTGTGGGAGCAGGTCGTTGTGCGTGACCTCCTGGAGTGGCCCACAAAAACTAAAATAAGGCAGAAGCTGATGGTGTCAAGTGAGAGGAGACCTGACGCACCGGCAGCAGTGACTCAACCATCGGTATAATTACATCCTTGCAAGCTAACACAGTAATCCAAATTGACATAATAAATCACAACTACTGGTGATGCAAGGTAATAACTCTTACACCACCTCTAGAAAATCTGATATAAACACGGTTTTCCTCGTGCACACACAGTGCGTGTGTTTCTCTTCACTTTGCAAACTTCTCTGTGACGTGTGTAGTGTGTGTGTGTGTCTGTACACAGATATGGGTTTGGATAGTGCACGTGTGTACATTATGTGCTGACTGGGCACTCTGGAGTTATCAGAACCCGTCAAGTGCCCTGTTTACCCAATCTCTCTCCCAATCGTAAAAACTCTCAACTCTCGCGTTTATCCTCATAAAGGTCCAAATGCCTTCATTCCTATGGACAATAGTAAGCTGCTAATTAGTGGCATCCAGCGCCAACTGTAAAAGGAAAATAATAATAATAAACCAATGGTCTAGTGAGAAACAAATAGCTTCAGTCTCTATGCTGCATTAGGCGTGAACATAGTGACTGGGCATGTGAGAGGTAAGTTTGTCTTTCGTCTCACATCCATCTAGTAAAGATATCTACTGCTGCAGTATGCAGCTGAGTACAAACACACATTGACTGTCTGGTGTCCAATACCAGCAAAAGAAAAGAAGGTTTCTCATCACCGCTAACAACATGACAATTCCGTCAGTCATGTGACGGTGCACGAGATGTTAGGGGGATTGCCTTCCTTGTGTATATATTTGTGTGTGTCCGTATCTGGACACTGGAGCACTGTATTGCAAGGGCAGAACTCAAAGAATAAAATTGTCAACGTGTGAAACACTCGCCTTCATTATACACCCTATCATATCATTAGACAAATAGAGAGAGAGAAGTACCAAGAGAGTGTGACAAATTGGTCCGTGGGCTGGCAATGCCAATTGATGGAGAAGCAGTAAACTGTCATTGTGCACCGTATCAGGAGCACTTCCTTCTGCCACTATAGCTGCAAGCACCACAGTATGCAGAGACTAATTTGTTAAACCATATCAGTTATTTCGGAAACTAAACTTATGACTGCAAAGTGAGCAACAGTCAGTAATTCTCTGTGCTCTCCGTTCAATGCCGTGGCGTTATCTAATGTCGCGTTCCTCCCCTCTCTTATTCTCTAAATTAAAGGATCGTCTATGTGAGTACGCTGCCAGCCAATAGACTCGACACGGGCCTCAGAAAGAAGGGCTCAGGAGTGCCTCGCGGGTGCCGTCGGGCCGTGCTATCTCGACTTACGTCCCACTCTAACAATCGGTCCAGTTTCCTTCGGACGCAAGCGAAATGGGAACGGGGTTTCGAGACGCGGGATCGTGACGTAATACTTTCTCTACTCGCTGGCCAATTGTGTTAGTGAGATGCACGGGTCTCTGCCGGAGCAGCTATCACACTCCGTCCGCGAGACGCCTCCTCTGCCTTTGTCATACCTGCACGATCTAGCTCCCCGCTGTCCACCCACTAATCCACCTCGTTCGATCCACTTCCTTCTACACGAATATTTCAGGGCGCAGAGACATCATGCGTAAACTTTGCGTGTCCCGCGGTGCGTCGAGCAAACTACCGAAATATCCGCGGGAATCGCGTGCCTACCATCCCGTCCTCGCCGTAGAGAACCCAGCGGACAAAGAAACGGACGTTACTCCCTGGGGGCTTCATGGTGCCCGTGGTGGGGGTGGCACGGGGGGCACCCTCAGAACTTCTCTCGCTCAGCAACTCCTAGCCCGATCCTTGCCAAAAACCTGGTTTTTGCTGAGCGCCACGAGCCTCTCTTCTGCCATTCGAGACTGCCTCAATTCCCGAGCCAAGCAAAGACCGACTGCAACAAGTCCCCCGGTCCATTCCAGGAGAGGACTGAGCCCTGAGGTGACTAGAGTTCCCATCCCCTCTCAATTTCGATAGCAGACTGGGCGGTTGGTTCAGGGGATGAAGGTATCAGTAGTAGGATCCGCATAAAGAACACCCCTGTACCCCAGCTTTCCTCCAGGAGAGCCTCTTTACTCGTCCCAAGAAGATGCTACGTTGGTTAACGGGTGTGGCGACAGTAGTAGTGGTCCTGGCTATAAGAGTAAAGAAGAGCTCTAAAACTGGGACATAAGAAGATGCAATGAAGAGTAAATCTAGAGTCGAGGCCTTCGGACAGACCTTGATACACGGATGAGTTTGTGACGTGCACAGGTGACCCACTAGAATTGGGAGGCTGGCCAAGTATGATTAGTCTGTTACCCATAAGGAATCTATCAGTTTCCGAGTAACGGTGTCACCGCAACCAGGGTTGCGGATCTGGCTCTTGCTGAAGGCTCTGAGGCAACCTAATAGCTGCCAAGGGAGGCCCCATATGAAACCAGAGAAGAAAGGAGTCCTCATTCTCCCCTCCGCCAGGTAAGCGTATGCATTCCTCCCATTTACCTCCTTAAAGTCCTGGAAAGTAATTGCTAACTCCCCGCTCGCCATTCCTCTCTCTCTACTGAATAGCTAGCTTTGCAGGATATATGTAGAACCAAGTTTCCTTTATATTATTATGTGCTTTGTAGTATATCTAAGATCAACCAGAAGTGCATTACTGTGGTACTGTGGTAGGGAAACAATGGTGTAAAAGGGATACTCTTAGTGAATTGTGGCCTATATAAATTAGCTTTGTGGCAAAACAAATGCTAGTGTCTAAGTAAACTGAAATCACTGCTCTAGTGCGTGTTCTTTTAGCCTACATCTGATGAATTCCATGCCCCAGCTAAAATTTAAGGAAGTGTGCATATGTTCCACACAGCATGATAGTTGGTCAGGCTTTACTAGTTAAGGACAAAGTGTAACTTTGGCAGTGGTACCCAAAAAAAAAAATACATCCCGGGAGAGACCAATAAGGGAGCCTCGTCTCCCCTAGAATCCTTCTTATAGAATCACTCACCCAACATTCCAAGTAAGAGAGCGATAACCTGGTCCTTACAACATAGAAAAAGAAGATGCAGCCCTCCAAGCAAGGTTTCACAGGCGATAAAGAAATAATTCTTACTAAAAATTCTTCCCTTGTTTGGTCTTATCTAAATACAATCTCGTTACTGATCAAGGCTTTCGTTACCTATGTATATATTTTGGGTGTCTCTAAAAGAGAAAATTTTTTACTTAGTAACATTCCGCTCATTTCACGCTATATTCGCCCCCTCCGAGAAAGATAATTGCCCTCCATAATGATTCTTGTGGCCTTCACAAATTGGAGCCATGTATACCTGGGACGAAAGGACCCGCGTTGAAGTACGTAATTCGCTGTCTTTGGTCCCCCAATTTAGCTCGAGGTTATGCCCTTTTGCTCCTAGGATCCCTTACTACTAAAGGATTTCCGTCTTGCTTGCAAAGAAAGCTGCTGCGGGACGCATGAGTCCTGTCTCCCCCGTCACGAGGCTGGTTTTTGCAGTTGGAGGTAAAGTTGCTGGTACCCGACACACTGCCAGTGCCTCAGCTCTGTTGAGGGTTTGAGGAGCAGGCAGGCCAGTGGGCATCTTGTCTGCCAATAACCCCCCCTCGCCTTCATCGGATGACCAAGTGCATTAAAGTTGGTACTACTGTTCAACAGACTCAACTGCAGGAGATCACAGACAACTGGACCTCGACATACCAAACACCACCACTTTTCTCTGCCTCCTCACAAGAGCATCGCCGTTCCCGACGTGTGGCTCAACAGATTCTGCGACCTAACCAACTTTTCACTGGAGGACTAACATCCGGTCCGGTCTGGTCGCGGTTAGGGTTCAGCTCCCCACGCTTCGCGTCCAACATCTATGCCAACTCGGGAACTGTCTGCTGACAACTGGGAGGCAGCGACGAGCATCTGGAGCACAAATCAGTCGCCCTCAATGTTTTCCCTCTCCTCTCCCAACTCCGTATCCGTATCGAAGACTCCCAGTCATTTTGTTTTGCCTGCGCTG